TCATTAGCATAACTCATTAGCATAAGCCACACCCCCTGACATCACCAGAAGTGTGACATAAATACTTGCAGAGTCAACCCTGCTTAGCATCCAAGATCTGCAGTTCTTGAGCTGATGGGAACCTCTGGACAACCTGGACAGGTGGCACGCTAGTCTTAGTGGACTATACCTCCCCTCAAAAAAACCAGTGCTTTTTAAAAAGTATGATGGCCAATGAGGGCCCGGCGGTGGACCTGCAAGGCCGGCGGGAGTGCGAGGAAGCCCCACAAAGGCCCTCCCTGGCCCCAGGCAGGCAGGGGTGGGGAGAAGCCGGGAGGAAGCAACTTACCTCACCTCTTCTCCTGCCTCCTCCTGGCTGAATGAGGTCCGGAAGCAGGGGGCGGGACTTCATCATGTGCCCCGCCCCTCAACCGGGGGAACTGCAATCCCCCCCGAATCTACCTCTAATCAGGGGAAGTGTTCAAGATAGGACAGACAAAATTTTACCAAGTCCTTTTGTATAATGTAGAGATGAGCATTCGGATACATGGGCAGCATCAGTGACAAAGAGTCCCCCGAATATTTTCATACTGCAGTCCATTTACATGAGAACATTCTCCGGTTCCAGTTCCCTCCCAATAGAAGGCGGGGGCAGAGGAGGAACACATTTATGGTGACCAACTTTGACAGTGGCCTCTTTGCCTAACATTTTCAAGTATTACTCTCTATAATATACCCAAACCCAGGCTAGTCCAAGCCCATCAGATCTCAGGAGCTAAGCAGGGTCGGCCTTGGCTAGGTAGTTGGAACGGCAACCTCCAAGGATTACCAGGGTTGTGTGACGCAGAGGCAGGCAATGGCAAACCACCTCTGAGATCTCCCCTGAAAAACAAGTCTAGCTTGCCACCTAGTGGTGCATAATGCTAACTTCTGGCTGCCAGACAATCTTAGGATCTCCTGGCTATTCTACACACAATGCCATACAGTAATGAATTAATCAATACCCAAACCAGCCCGTCCTCTGGTCAAACAGTCACACAGTCATATACCATTGAGACAATTTAGGCTGTGATCCTGTGCACGTTTACTTAGGAGTAAGTGCTGCTGTGCAAAGTCTTCATTATCCTGGTGTTAATACTGAGATTTCTTTTTTAAGAGAGTTCAGTCGGTTAGTCTCGAGGCAAGAAAGGTTCACATGCAATGCTCAGCTTTGTTCTTCATCTCAATGGGAAAAGTTCAGGCAGATCATTACTGATCCCAGCAACAATGGGGGGAGGATTTGCCCCTACCCAAAACACACAAAAGTAGTGCACAGACATCCTTCATTTCAAGTACCTGTGGAGGTGGAATTATAATCAAACCATTGGCCAGTTTGAATAAATACTGTTGTTAGCAACTAAATTATATACACACACAAATAAAAAAGTAATATTTAAAGCTCTGATGGCTTCATTTCCCAGTACCTGTGATGGACATTTACCCCTGCCTTTTGTATGTGCACTTAACTTTTGTTCTCTTTCCCAAACCCTCGGAAGTTAAAAAGCTTTCAGCCCAGTGCACAGAATAGTAGGGAATCCTGCACTTTCCCAGGCTCACTGAGTACTTAGCAAGGGCAGAAAGATAGACATTAACAAGCATAGCATCAAGATGCCAGAGCAAAAGCTTTTTAGAATGTCAGTCTGTTGCACTCTGCCAGGCTCCCTGAGTACCTAAGCAAGCATAGAAGCCTGTAGTATCAAGCCCTAGAAGATCCATTTTATTTGACATTCCTGGTGTCAACAGGAAGACAGAACAGAAGCAAGGGACTTCAGTCGAGATGCAAGAGTATACACAAAGCTAGCAACAATCAGCTGAATCCGAAACACACACATCAGGGAAAAAACCCCAAATTAGAATGCTTAGCAGCAAAGGGCTCGATCAAATAATGCTCATAGATGTGATTTAATCTTTTTGCTTTCATGCCAATATCCATATCTGAAAACAACAACAACAAATATATGCAATATTTCAATAGATACGATGCAAATCAAATGAATGTTGGAATATGTTGGATGTTCTTTAATGGAATGTTCTTTAATGGAATGAAGGTTATTTAATTTCCCAACAGATCAAGTAAGTTTTCATAACTCGCTTTGACCCATTCGACTTCGGAACAAACTAGAAGAGACACTGTATGATCCATGAACAGCTAAATGTCAGCTCTGGCAGATCCCAATTTGGATTGAGTCTATAAGAGGGGTGTTTGCCCCCACAGTCGGAATAACGAGACGGACAACAGTTTGGATTGAAACAAGGGCCACTTTATTAACTATATATACTCTATATAGCACGAGGCAGCAACTGCTCTAGGGTAGGAACGGAGCCAAGCCTAAAGGGCTGGCTCCGCCCCTCCCCCCGCCCCAGCGCGCTGCGCTGGGACGCTGTCGCCGCCTCCATCCCTCCGCGGCGGCAAACCAGCCCCCGGCCGCCATTGCCTTTGGCGGCGGCCGGGAGCTCCCTTAACTCCTCCCCCCCATGCTAATTTTCCAATGGACCCCATCAAGGTGGTATTTGCCCCCACTGGGGAAAACATACAAGCAACATCTATGTGCTCCCCAGCAGAATAAGTTAAAGTGGTGTGTGTGTGAAGATGAGAACACAGCACAAGAAGGTAGAGTTGAACAGTAAACATATCTCCTTAATGCTGCAGCTCTAATCCTATTTGGGAATCCCCCCCCCCCTTTTAGCAACCAAACACACCACAGAATTTCCAGCATCCTGTCTGGTTTGACCCTTAGCAAAGTCAAGTACTAAATAACCCTTAACTGAATGAAACTGAATTTCCAAACATTCGAAATGGTTTGATTCACATAGATAATACTTTGATTGCTTATATTTTGTTGGGGTTTTTTTTGGAATACTTCTATTTTGCTTGATTGATTGGTGTTTATTGATTTTTCTCAGAGTGAACAATTTAAGAAAGCAAAAGGATTTAAATTAATCTGTGGGCATTCTTGCATCAGTCCTTTGTGTATTTAGTAGAGTTAATGTTATCACTGCTTCTGGAGCTTAATAGTGCAAACAAGAATGTGATACATGACACATCTTTCACAGCTTCTGGCATCATCAAAATGCACACATCACCCCATGATAAAGGGCCTCTTTCCTAATAGAGTTCTATACAATGCTACAGCTGGAGCACCAGTGCAAGTTGGTTCATTTAAATATTGTTAATGCACTGCAAAATGGCAAAATCATCAGGTGACATTTCAGCTGGAATTGAATTGCACGTGGTCATAACTGTACTTACTTAAGATACAGAAATTTCCAGTAGGGGGAGTGCTCAGTGCATTAGCAGTCACAGAAATTTCAGTACACAAGTATTTTCTTTCCAGACTGCTGAAATTTCAGGTAATGGCACTGCCAACTGGGAGGCAGTTTATTATCTAGACCTCCCTTGATTTTTTAAACTTTTGGAATTATTTGGGTTTTGATGATGTTGGTCTCGCTGCAGAACAGACTGAATTTTAGATATTTTAGTAATCATTATTTTTCCAGATCAAATTTCCATTTTATCGATACTGTAAAAAGCCTTGCACATGTATGCTCTGTAGCCAGAATACAATAATACATTTGGGATCTGGACTTCTAGGTAAACACATCTTCTGTATTCAGTTCAGTGGCTACAAAAGTGGGGGTGGGAGAGACAGATGGATGACATTTAAACTAGACCGGCCTCTACTGGTATAAGAATATGCCAGACAGGAAAGCTGCAGAGAACTATTAAGCAAGTGGAAGGACTGGAGGAAGCCAACATGGTGTGAAAACGTGTGCATTTCTCAAGTAACACCCAGAAATTTTGCAGTGGAAGAGCCTCAGGTTACACGGGGTATATGGGAATGAACTGGTACAAAATAGTAAAAACCTAACACATTTTTATCTTCCCCTTCCAACAAGGAGATCAATGTGCACGGTCCATGCATGGACAATTTGCATGGTCCATGTGGTACAGAGGTTAAGAGTGCTGGACTAGGATCTGGGATAACAAGGTTTGAATCCCAGCTCGCGCCATGGAAGCTCGCTGGGTGGCCTTGGGCCAGTCACACTCTCTCAGCCTAGCCCTACCTCACAGGGTTGCTGTGAGGATAAAATGAAGGTGAAGGGAATGATGTAAGCTGCTTTGGGTCCCCACTGGGGAGAAAGGCGGGCTACAAATGAAATAAATACATAAATAAATAAATTTACTTCCATAAGAACCCGCCATGTTAAGTTAGGCCAAAAGAGAGAATAACGGGGCAAAGGTCAACCAGTGAACGTCACAGCTGGGTCAGCATTTGAAACCTAGATGTCCCTGCTCCTAGTCCAACGTTCTAACCGCACTGGGTCTCAGTGTAACCTAAAATACTGGCAACCTAGTGTGCCTAGAGTTAAATATTAATAAAATAACATTCACATTTTACAAACTCTAAAAATAAAAAGGCCAGCTGCTCGACAGCTCCTCTAGTGTCTTTGCACAAGTTGGTTAGAACACTAGAAGGCAGGAACACGTCGCGTCCATTCTGCTGAGCAAACTGGCTAGAACACTGTCTACAAGGTTTGGCTTTGTGTCTTGGTATGTCAAAGGCCCGCAGACTTTTCAAAAAACGAAAACTGAAAATTCGGGGGAAAGTTCTGGACTGACTAAACGGACCAGCAGTGCCTCACTCTACCACTGCCCACTTCTTCTAGATATGGTGGCAGCGGCAATGAGATAAGGCAGTGTTGCCGAGCCCACCGTATCTCCCTGCCCTGTGGTGACGGCACTGTAACCAAACAACGGGGCCACCCTGTGTCTGCTTTCGTAACACTTACCTTTTCAAGCAGCAATCAACAGGCACAACGGAAAATACATGTCATGACGTAGCCAAAGTTTAGAGAAAAACATACTTTGGAAAGTTTAGCACCGTTCGTTCTCTCGTAATGATGTGATCAGTCCTCACACAAAGTCCACCTTTGTCTCCCCAAAGACTCTGCAGTTATATTCATTAAAAGCTGAACTGGACCTGTCGGCACCTCATGAAATACATGAGAATCTCCTTGAAACAGGGAGATTTTGGCCCCATCAGTCGACGCCCTTGATAAAATCCTACAGGAAAGACTGCAGATTCCCTCCCTCAGAATGCAGATGGTTGACGTGATCCCTGGAAGTAAGTCTCTATCTCTTCTAGGGTCTTTCCTTTGGTTTCAGGTATGCAAAGTATAGTGAAGAGCACGTTGAGAAGGCAGGTAGCAGAGAACAGCCAGAACGTACCATAAGGGGTCAGGAGAACCTGGAACGGAAAGAGAAGCGGGGATCTTGAGCTAGTCGCCACTGAGGTGGTAAACCTGACTGGACTATGCCACTTGACAATGCAGCTATGCAGCTCAAATGTGCAAAAAGCCCTGCCATTAAAAAAGAAAGAAAAACCCCAGTTCCCTGCACTTAGAAAGCTAGCCCCTCAGGGAGAAGGCTGGGCTCTCTGACTTACTAGCTTTCTGTGAGCAAAGAATTTGTTTCGTATGGAGGAGCATTTAATCATGTAATCCACTTTCTCCCTTCATGACCACATTTCCTGTGTTTATAATCATTATAAATATGTCCATCACCGATTAGCCAATCTGTATTTAAGTCTATTAAATCTACATACATTAGCATATAACAACAAAAATGATAGTTCTAAAGAAAAAGTATACATTGTTTTGCTACTCTGCACATACATATCATGCCATGCTGGAAGAGGCATTCCGTCTTCTTTCTCACACAAAAGGGAATGCTTCTTCAGAGATGATGCTTGCCAACTTCAGAAATAACAACAACAACAACAACAACAATAATAATAATAATAATAATTATTATTATTATTAAAGTTTCTACCCCACCGTCCCAGCCAGAGCCAGCTCAGGGCGGCTTACATAAAATAGCCTAAGAATTACAATTAAAATTAGGCAACATCAGTTAATACAAGTAAACAGTGCTAAAACCATAAAACATAATAAAGTGCTAGTTTCAATGATTTGACAGCGGTGTTGTTACTTAGTTCTCTCATCTCGCAGTCAGCTCCTTGCACTTTATTAAGCACTTTATTAAAAATCTCTTTAAAAAAGTAAAAACCTGCTGCCTGACTAACTGAGGATGCCATGTACGTTGACCCCACCTTTCCCCCCAGTGGTTAAACCACACAGATGCATCACTTCCTTACCATGAAGTCATAGAATTCTTTGGTTACCAGAAATGCCATGAACCAGTTTGTTAAGACACAGGCACCACTGGCTGCCCCTCGTGCTCGGAGGGGGAATATTTCAGACATCACCAGCCACGGGATGGGGCCCCAGCCCAGGGCAAAACCTGAAGGTCGCAAAAGAGCAACACAGTCAACACAATGGAGAATCCCTGGATGAGCTTGTTTGGTATTCGGTGTGGTTGGCTGTAAACTCAGAAACTGACTTAGCAGCCATGACTGGGTGCTTTCATCATCTATCCTGAGCCAAACAAGACTTCTGTCCTCTACCGCCAGTAGAATCTTAGGAGGTGAGTAGCTCGTTCATTCAACTTCAAAGACGTTGAAAGAAGACTGGTCAACCCTAGTCCTTTTTTCCTACCCATCAGCCCTCCAAGTAAATAGCAGCAGTGTTCAGTGTTCAGGCAGCACTTCAAAAGGTTCTAAGACCTCCGCATTTACAGTTTTCTAATAATCTTTACAGCGATACCTTAAACTAAGTCAATATTATTATCTCCCAAATTGTCAATATAAATGTGGTATTACATAGTGGCTAAGACACAGATGTATGCATCAGGCAGTTACTGAATGACTCAGTAGTGGAGATTACTAGAGCAGTTGCAAAATTTTGGGGAGACATTCTTAAAGCCAAATCTACGCTGTTATAAATTCTTATATCATCATGTTCCTATGTTTTAACCTATGTATGGAGTTTTAATTTTATATATTGACCCTAAACGTTATGTTAAATTTACTATGCCAATAAAGGTCTTGTACTTGAATCAGGAAGTCTCTTGTACCACTGCACAATGAAGTTACAGGGCTCACAAGTCTTAATGATCCTCCAAACAAAGATAAGTAAATACATTCTCTGTCCATCAAAAGCTACCATGTCAGGAAGAAGACGAAGCAATTACTCCGTTCCCTGGCACACTGGTTTTTTGTGTGTATGATATTTGCTTTCTATGAAAGGGTGTTCAAATTACACCTCTCTCTGTTGTGAATCCACTAAGTCACCATGGGTTTGCCATTCTCTCGCAACTTCAGCCGTGCCTCCCCATCTGCAGAAATAATGTACCTTATAGGGACCTAGTGAGTATATAACTTTTGCAAAGCTTATGTAGCATGGTTGTGGTCATGTGCCGATTACATGGGTACTTCCCACCCCTGTGTCAGCAACCATGAGGAGAGGGGTTAAAACAAAAGGAGTGTGCATCACATAGAAGTTTGAAGGATACAGGAGCCAAAACAAATGGCTCAGTGCCGCTGCAAGGCCCGCACTGACCCATGATGAAGAGACCCAGACTCAACACTGCCAGCCAGGAGAGGTGGTGCTCTTCCTCCATGAGTGCAGGACTCAGCGAGTTGATGTGGGAGGAGTTGCCGGGACTTGGGGCTATGATTTTGAAGTAGATCCCAAACACTGCTGCACTGATGGCCATGATGATCCCTGGAAACACAAGAGAGTATCTCATCATATGTATTGGGAACCACATGGTCCAACCCTATATCACCCTTGTGGTCTTTTGCCTAGAGGATCAAGGTGAGCTTAGAAAAGCCTGCCTGCACTTCGAGGAGAGCCACTGGTACCCATCTGTGCAAGATGGCGTGAACAGGACTGAGGTGGGCGGGCACATAGGACCAGTGTTCCCGCTAAACTGAGTTAGTGTGAGCTAGCTCACAGTTTTTTAGCATCCAGCTCGCAGGATTCTGTCTTAGCTCAGGAAGGAGGGCTCCAGAGCAAACTAACTGATGCGGCGGCTAAACCGCTCGCTCACAACTTTAATGCCAGTAGCTCACAAAGTGGAATTTTTTCTCACAAGACTCCACAGCTTAGAGGGAGCCTTGCATAGGACAGGGCCTTTTCAGCCATGGCCCCTGGAATTTGCTATTCAAGGATGTCAGCTCACTTCCTTGCTCCTTGCTTTCTGGAGAATGGTCAAAACTATTTTATTCTAGAGAATCTCTGATGTGCTTTCTTCCTAACTCAGTATAACTTTAAATCTGGACTGTTGTCTGCATTTTATTGCTAATTACTGATTGCTATTGAAAGCCAGTGTTGTGCAGTGGTTAGACAGTCAGACGAGGATTTGGGAGACCCAGGTTTGAATCACCACTCTACCATGGAAGCTTGCTGGGTGACTTTGGGCTGGTCATTCTCTCTCAGCCTCACCTAACTTATGGGGTGTGCTGTGAGGATGAAATGGAGGAGACTCCTTCAGGAGAAACTCCTTCAGGAGAAAGGTGGGATATAAATGAAGTAAATAAATAATAAATACAGGTGAAGATTAGGGGGGCAGATAAAAGTTGGTTAGGGAGGGAAAGGTGAAGGTATGGGGGTTGCCAGGAGGAGGGAAAGAAGAAATACTGTGGAGAAGGGGATTCAGGAGAAAAATGAGGGAAGCAGGGAAAACTGAAGGCAAGGAGGCATATAAAGGTAGACTACCTGGTTGATGGAAAGAAGGAAGCAGGAAAAGAGGAGAGGCTACGGGGGCTTTCAGGGAAGGAAAAGAGGAAATAATGGGGGAAGGAAAAATGAGATGCACCATGTAAGTCCTTGCGGATCCCCCACTTGTTATATTCTATTCTCTTCCCTTTACTCCAGAAATCTTAGATTTCAGATTTTTCTGCAAACCTGGGGCTTTTCTCAGGTTCCTAGAAAGATCACTCTTGGCTGGCCATGGGTCCAGTCTCCAGATTTAAGTATCTACAGATGTGGCTATGTTGAGAATGAGATATACTGACGATGGGAAAGATCCTCCAGGTCTAAGGCTCCAAAAAGACACAGATGGTCGGCAACAGGCTTTTAGATGGAACAGTCCACTAACACAGCCCTTGGCACAGATCGAAAATGGACAGCTGTGAAGACTATTCTAAGTTTATGAGAGGTGATATCAGAGAGGTACAAAGCTCTGTTCTGTCTCCCTTTAATCAGGCCAAACCATTGGGAGATAGGAGGTGTGGATTTGCTATTTCAATTTGATGGCACCTATAATGGTCAATGTATTCAGTAAGCTGCCCTGGGTGCTAATTTAAGAAGAAGAAGATGAGATTGGATTTACACCCTGCCTTTCACCACCTGAAGGAGTCTCAGAGCTGCTTACAATCTCCTTTCCCTTCCCTTCCCCACAACAGACACCCTGTGAGGTAGGTGGGGCTGAGAGAGCTCTCTCAAGAACTGCTCTTGAGAGAACAGCTCTGAGAGAACTGTGACTGACCCAAGGTCACACCAGCAGCTGCACGTGGAGGAGTGGGGAATCAAACCTGGTTAATTAAAGAGGTGGGATAGAAATCCTCTAAATAAGCAAAATAAGCACAGCAAAAACAAAGGGGGGGCGCTAACAAAAACCTGGGCAACAAGGGGGCAGACAGAGAAGTTAAAAGGGTCCAGCGACAAGCCAGGCTGAGTGGCCCCGGAGGCACTACGACCTGGGGCTGCTGGGGCCACTCAGGCCAGATCTGGTCAGCGGAGCCAGTGAAGGGTGCCTGCTCTCTGGTTGCTGCTTCCAACGCCACCGTCAAATTGGCTACAGATGGCACAAGAGGTAGCCGGGGGTGAGCCAACACCCACTGTGGATGCTGCACTCCAGGTCTGACCTGACTGGACCCTGCAGAACCACTGGGGCTTGGCTCTGCTTGTCCCTGTCTGTCAGTAGACTCTCCAGGCCCACCAGGAGCCTTCCCTTTAAGTTCGCCACCAGTTCGAGTTTCCAGGGATAAAACTGGGGACTTTCTGCATGCAAAGCATACATTCTAGCACAGGGTCATGGTCCTTCACTGCAAGGGTCCGGCTCCGGGTCGGGAAATTCCTGGAGACTTTGGGAGTGGAACCTGGTGAGGGACCTCAGCCAGGTATCAGGCCATAGAGCCCACCCTGCAAGGAAGTAATTTTCTCCAGGGGAGCTGGGCTCTGAAGATCAGCTGTGATTCCGGGAGATCTCTAGGCCCCACCTGGAAGCTGGCAAACCTTTTCACTGCTCCCCAAAAGACCCAGAGTCCCACCCTTCGTCCTGGACAGGCTGCTCATTTGCAATACCTGACACAACCAGAAGGATTCTCCTTCCTGTTCTGTCGATGAAGAGAGCAGCCACTGCTGTGAAAAAGACTTGTATGGACCCCACGGCGACTGTCACAGCACTGCTGTTCTGAAAGCGTAAGAAACCCACAGATTTATTTCCTGAATCCATACACAGTTTTGTTGGGGGGGGGAGCCCTAGACAGCAGGGAGCAGTGGAATTTATATTCCCCCCCCCCCAAGCATTCTAAAGACATAACACTTTAGGAAAGTCAGGCTTTCAGTGGAACGCACTGCTGGGGAGAGGGTCTCCAGCACAAACGAAAGCTTCCTGTTTTAATGGCGACTGAGTCGCAGGGCAGGATCCAAAGCCAGACATCAATGCCACTGAAGCCAATAGGGCTGACTAGGAGGTAAAGAGTCGACGCTGAGCTATAGGAAAGTAGACGGACTGTGTGACTTGTCTATGGTCCGTTTTGCGGTGCTTTTGGGTTTTTTCCCTCTCTTTTTCTTTTTTAATGTGCCGTTTGAGTTCATCTTTCTTTCTTTCAGGATCGAGGACACCCAAGCCATCAGTCTCCTTAGTCGCCGGGGAACTGGACTAAAATACCGACCTCCAACAGGCCAGCGATAGAAGAGACGCAGGGAGACTTTCAAAGTGTTTCAAGGCACATCATGTCTAGTCTGATCCCCCAGTTGCTTTGTAAAGGTAAGGGAAGAAGGAAGAGACCAAATATCTGCTGGGAACAAGTTCCGAGTAAGAAAACCACAGGTGGGCAGACCAAGGGTCCATTTAGTCCAGCATCCTGTTTCCCAGAGTGGCCAGTCAAATGCTTCCTTGATTCCCAAGAGCAGGATCCCTCCCTCGCTGTAACTCGCAAGCAAATGGCATTCACAGATACACTATCTCTGAACATGGAGGTCCCATTTAAGCATCATGGGCCTAACAACATACATCACTCTATGGAGCTCAAATGCGCACGGAGCTGAGATGTGAACTGGAGGTATCGGGCCATGTCCACACAAAGACAGCCCCTCAAATGATGACCTGAGAGATTCCTAGCATTTCTTCTCAAGGGGTAGATTCAACTGAGAGAATGTGACTGGCTTAAGGTCAACCAAGAGGGGGTTGGACTCTAGAGCTCTCTCTAGTCTGATCAACCCCATTACCCTGTCGGGTGTTTGTACCTGAGGCCTCTGCTGTCCAGGAGAACCGAACACTCAGTATGTTGAATAAGGAACTCAAGATACTTCGGAATCTTCCTTCACAGTTAATGAGCGTCCTGTCAGATCTTCTTCGTGGTCTCTGTGCTTCACACCAATGGGATCTAGTGCACCTGCGCTGGATCTGCCGGTGCCTAGCAAGCTCTTCTAGAAGGATTTTCGTGCCTGGCCCAACTGAGCATGCCCAGGAGCCCCAGTGAGCATGCTCAGAAGGGCAGGCACGGACATCCCGCCAGTTCTTTCCTTTCCGCCGCGCTGAGCAGACCTGTCTTCGAGAGGTCTGGCCGGATCGCTGCCTTTTGATCACTTTTAGTGACTAGCTCTCCGTTTTCATGTTCAGGTTGATGGTTACACCTTATTTTCCCATCCTGTTACCAAACGTTTCCTGAAGGGTCTCCTACGTTTGTACCCTCCAGTCAAAGCTCCAGCACCTTTATGGGACCTTCCCCTGGTCTTGCGCCAGCTGACAAGACGGCCCTTCGAACCCCTCGCCACCTGTCAGCTGAAGCTCCTGGCATGGAAGACGGCCTTCCTCGTCGCCGTCACCTCGGCCAGGCGAGTCGGTGAACTCCTGGCTTTTCGGCAGGACTCGCCATACTTGTCCTTCCTCCCGGATGGCGTCCGCCTGGTGCCGGACATTTCATTTTTGCCCAAGGTGGTCTCTGAATTCCATCTGCAGTCTGAAGTCTTCCTCCCTGATTTTTACCCTGACCCAAAATCACCGGAAGACAGACTTATGCACACGCTAGACGTGAAGCGGGCCTTCCTCTTCTACCTGAATAGGACACGCCCCACGAGGCAAACCCCTAAGCTGTTTGTCTCATACGCTGCACCCCGTGTGGGCACTCCAATCACGGCCCAACGTCTGTCCAGGTGGATCGTAGGTCTCATAGAACTCTGTTACCTACTGGCGAAACGGCCCTTGCCAGGCCCCGTCCGGGCTCATTCCACCAGGGCTGTAGCCACATCCACTGCGTTCCTGAAGGGAGTACAGCTGCAAGACATTTGCAGAGCCGCAACCTGGGCCACGCCGACTACATTCATCAGGCACTACGCCCTAGACGTCCGCCAGTCCACCAGTGACAGTCTGGGACGTCAGGTTTTGGCCTCGGCTAAGCAGTAAACACCTGACAGCACCCGCCTCCAGGTAAACTACTGCTCGCTAATCTCCCATTGGTGTGAAGCACAGAGACCACGAAGAAGATAAACAGGTTGCTTAACAGTAACTTGTGATCTTCGAGTGGTCATCTGTGCATTCACACCACCTGCCCTCCTGCCCCGCTGCTGTCTTCTTCTACGTGATTTGTTAGGAGATTGATGCGCGGCGGTTGGTAGGAACTGGCGGGATGTCCGTGCCTGCCCTTCTGAGCATGCTCACTGGGGCTCCTGGGCATGCTCAGTTGGGCCAGGCATGAAAATCCTTCTAGAAGAGCTTGCTAGGCACCGGCAGATCCAGCGCAGGCGCACTAGATCCCATTGGTGTGAATGCACAGATGACCACTCGAAGATCACCAGTTACTGGTAAGCAACCTGTTTTTTTCATTAGCCTCACCTGCATTGACTGTGCGGCCCAGAGTGTTCTATTCACAGGTGGCAGAGGGAAGGAGGCTGCGTTAGACACTGTGAGGAAATAAAAAACTAATGACTGACCTTGAAGTTGGCCTCCTCAAAGATGGTTTCTGAATAAAACATGATGGCGTTGATCCCCGACACTTGCTGGAAGAACATCATGGTGATTCCAATCAGGAACGGCTTGTAGATGGCTGGATTCTTGAACTCTGCTATAGCCAGTTTCTGCTACAGAGACAAACACAAGGAGCATTAACAATGACCAGAGGTCATTTCGGGGGGGATCGCGGGGGATCGCAGTTCCCCTGGGTGAGGTGCGAGGGGGCGGGGCACACGACGAAGCCCCGCCCCTTGCTTCCGACCGCCCCACTTCCGGCCCTCATTCAGCCAGGAGGAGGCAGGAGAAGAGGGAGGGTAAGTTGCTTCCTCCCCGCCTCTCCCCACCCCTGCCTGCCTGGGGCCAGGGAGGGCATTGGTGGGGCTTCCTCGCACTCCCGCTGCCTTGCAGGTCCACCGCCGGGCCCCTGATGTCAGGGGGTGTGGCATATGCTAATGAGTTATGCTAATGAGTTCCCCTAGCTCTTTTTCTACGAAACTACCCCTGACAATGACAGTCATTTCAGAGATGAGAGGGACAAACAGCAAGATTCATAAACCGAGAAAAGGACTTTAAAAATGGAATGGAGGAAGAAAGGCCTATCGATGGCTATTAGCTATGACGGCTTAGGTGGAACCTCCATATTCAGAGGCAGTGTACTTCTGAATGACAGTTTCCTGGAGGGGGGGGCGCTGCAGGGGAGGGTGCTGGACTTGACGGTTCTTTGTTCTGAGCCAGCAGGGCTCTACTTACGTCCTACGGATACCAAGGAAAATACCAGGACGTTCTCTCCTTGGTTGGCAAGTGGAGCAGAAAAAACACGTGGCACCCCTCAGGGACAGGATTTGGCCGGGGGTCTCTAGGGGCTGGCACTCTAAGGAAATCCCATTAAGCAGCTCAGTGCTGAAGAGAAGGAAGGCCAGGGAACAGTCAGGGTCTGCCACACTGCTCTTGGTAGGGCAGCCTATGGCAGACAGAGAGTTCTACCGGCTGTTCTCCTCTGCCCTGCTAAGTCTCAGTCTGGGTCAGCTGCCTGGGCCGTGTCTTAAGAACATCAGAGAAGCCAATGTTGGATCAGGCCAATGGCCCATCCAGTCCAACATACTGCCAAACAGTGGCCAAAAATACCAGGTGCCATCAGGAAGTCCAGCAGTGGGGCCGGGACACTAGGAGCCCTCCCACTGCTGCCCCCCCCCCCAAGCACCAAGAAGACAGAGCATCACTTGCCCCAGACCGAGACTTCCTATCTATACCTTGTGGCTAATAGCCACTGATGGACCTCTGCTCCATGTGTTTATCCATTTCCCTCTTGAAGCCGTCCATGCTTGTAGCCGCCACCTCCTGTGGCAGTGAATTCCAAGTGTTAATCACTCTTTGGGTGAAGAAGTACTTCCTTTTATCCGTTCTAACCCGACCGCTCAGCCATTTCATGGAGTGCCCACGAGTTCTTGTATTGTGAGAAAGGGAGAAAAGTACTTCTTTCTCTACCTGCCCTATCCCATGCATAATTGTATAAACCTCGATCATGTTACCCCTCAGTCGTCGTTTCTCCAAGATAAAGAGCCTCAAGCACTTAAACCTTTCTTCATAGGGAAAGTGTTCCAACCCCTTTATCATTCTAGTTGCCCTTTTCTGCACTTTTCCCAATGCTATAATATCCTTTTGAGGTGTGGTGACCAGAACTGTACACAGTACTCCAAATGAGGACGCACCATCAATTTATACAGGGGCATTATGATACTGGCTGATTTGTTTTCAATTCCCTTCCGAATAATCCCCAGCACAGCATTGGCCTCTTTTATTGCAGCTGCACATGGTCTCAACATTTTCTTGTTTCTTCTTGTATGAACCCTCAACATCTCCTTCAGCCCGTACCCTCCGAACGCAGCGCATGGCCTGGGTACCTGCTCGTCAGTGTTTGCTTCGATCTCACTGCATTCCCACTCGTGGTCCACCAGGGGTCCCCGCAGAAACTGCAGAGCGGCAATGGCTTCAGAGCGCTTGTGCTGACGCAGCAAGAAACGAGGCGTCTCCGGCATGAAAGCCATGATCCCAAGCATGAAGCAGGGTGGGACGGATCCCAGAACTGCTAGCCAGCGCCACTTGAGCCCCGTGCCTGAGAGGGAAACATAGAAAGATCAGGACTTCTTAGGCCAGATCCACTGGCAACGTCCTGTTCATGGGGACTGCTGATAAGAACCTGTGCTCTCCCCAGGGAACGGCATTTCCAAGCCTTCGTCATGTGTCATTCCAGCAAATGCATGTTGCATTGGGCGCACTGGTGAACAAAATCCCAGAGCTTAGGGTTGCCAAACTCCAGGTGGGGGGCTGGAGCTCTCCTGAAATTACAACTGATCTCCAGACTACATAAATTGCTTGTCATTTATTGATGTGAAACCTTTATTCCACTTCTCTTGGAGAAAATGTCTGCTTTGGAAGGTGGACTGCATGATATTACACCCTACCAAGGTCCTTCCCTCCCTAATCCCCGCCCTCCCCAGGCTCCTCCCTGAAATCTCCAGGTATTTCCAAACCTGGAGTTGGCAACTCTATCAGAGCAACACATGAAGCGTGGGACCTCATAGATCAGACTCTCATGCACTGTTAGAAATACACGCATTTATACTTATGTAAATAAAACACCGCAGGAGCTGCGGTGGCTCAAGTGGTTAAGACGCTGAACTGCATGCTGTGGAAGGTCGGTAGTTCAGCAGTTCGAGACCTGAGTGTCACATGACGGAGTGAGCTCCCGTCTCTAGTTCCAGCTCCTCCCAACCTAGCAGTTCGAAAGCAAGAAATTGCAAGTAGATAAATAGGTACCGCTTTGGTGGGAAGGTAACAGCGTTCCGTGCGCCTTGGTGTTTAGTCATGCCGGCCACATGACCACGGAAACGTCTTCGGACAGCGCTGGCTCTTCGGCTTGGAAACGGAGATGAGCACCGCAACCCTAGAGTCGGACTCGACTGGCTTTCGAGCAAGGGAACCTTTACTTTTAAATAAAACTTCAACAGGTGCCAGTCAACAGACTCCTCCACCTTCCACTCATGTCTAAACAAGTGGCTCAGACAATGTGAAAACGTCCATAGTGGATCTCCGGTCTGACCATTTCAAAACCTGTGCTCATAAACAGGCTAGATCAGTTCTAAAACAAAGAATATTAGACGTTGAGCAACAGATGGATGTGAGTAGGATTAGGAGCCCTGTATTTGATGTAACTACACTTAACAAGATAGTTGTGAGATCTTACATCAAATATCTTGATATCAGCAATCATAGAAGAATTTTTACCCATAATGGAGGCCAGATATACTAGATCATTGAGGAAAAGTTGTATATGTGGGATGGGACCTGATGAAACATTGGAACATGTAATTTTCGATTGTCTCATATATCATAATATCAGGGAAGTTTTGATCAAGCCGATAGTTAACTCCTTCCCAGGTCGTAATAGAAGGACACTTTTGTCAATTATGCTGGCAGGAGATAATTAAAAGCTGACTAGGATGGTTGCCAAATTTGGTTGGTTGGCATACCAAACTAGGAAAGAGATAAAGTTCAGATAGACTAAACCTAACCTTTGATCATAATTTTGATTCTATTATACCTGTATTTTAAAGTCTTTAGATCCTTATTTATAATTTTAGATGCCATTGTATTTTATAATTTTACTGCTCCCTTAACTGTATTTACTTGTCTTCTATTATACTGGTCTATGACTGTAATAAACTTGATACCCTTGGGACTCTTGCAGATCCCCACCCCCCTCCTAGACGGTGCTGGGTTAATACCAATAATCATGCCCAACAAATGTGCCTGTGTGAGTTCACATTCTGCCTCCCCCCCCCCCCCCTCCCACATTCCGCCCCCACTTTTCCAAAACTTGGGGTACAAGCCTCCCAAACAAATATACTTATAATTCCAGCAGAGCATCATTGTGGAATTCATCACCAATGGAAAATGGAAGACAATGTACATTGTATCTCATAAGAGGGGGGCCTGCACAGCTTGCAAGGGGAGGGGAATTCCACCCCACTCCGACCCCATTTCCCACCTTTTGCTCAATTTCCCTTCCCTACTGGCTCTGCTTCCTTACTACACACTCTTGGCTCGCCATCTTCAAGCTTGCTCACTCCTCTCCCCCGCCCACGACTGTTCTGTTTCACAGAAGATGTCCACCGAAGTCGCAAGAGACTGTCTCATCATATTTCAGCAGTCCTGTTGCCTAGGCAATCCAAAATGGCTGCTGAGATCTCACGAGAGAGGCCCGAGACATCTCAGCACAAACTGTTTTATGTGTATTTTCTCTTTCCCCCCCACCCCTCCATTTTTGCCTACCCCCACCCCAGGTCTGCAGAAGCAACTCCCCAGTCCTTATGAGGCCCCACTGTGCCCCTGTATGCTGGGAATCAGGTCTGGAATGAGTCATATTCTTCACTACATAATGCTCCCAGAGACAGTTTGAAAGCAATCCTTGGTAACTGTTTGATAATTGATGGTGGCAAACCTGGCCTCGTGCTCCGTGAACTGGATAAATGCATTTTCTCGTAGGGTTCCTCTGATTGCCTTGGAAGCTTACGCTATGGATATGGCCAGTCAGTCACTAGTCCTTGCCAAGGAGGCCATTTAATATAATTATTACAGTGGAGTACATCCAAGTGCAGTTTGATCCAAATACGGTCTCACTGAAGAAATTACCCACCTAGGAATACACGGTCACAAACTATCAATACGATGGCACTCTCTAGTAAAAAGAACAAATTGTGTGCACGTGTGTGTGCGGCCAGCCACCGACTCTCATCCAGAGCAGGTGTAGAATTAACATAAGCCCAGAGCACGGTCCACAGTACCTGCCACATAAGCTCCCAGGATGCCTATCACCACCATCAGCTGAACGCACGATCCCAGCATTCCTCGAACTTTGGAGTGAGCCACTTCAGAAATATATATCTGGAAAGTGCAAGCAGGAAGAGGGTTATGACAAGTGATATCGAGGAAAGTCAAAAAGCAAAAAACAAAAGAGCCGGCAACTCTTCCATCAGGTCTCGGGACTGAAATGGTAGGCGTCTCTCTTCTATCACTGCCTCATGATCGGGGCCGTGTGGACTCCATGCTGACTTTTTGCAAGGATGAAGTTCAAGGAGGAGGAGGAGGAGGAGGAGGAGATTGGATTTATACCCCGCCCTTCACTACCCAAAAGAGTCGCAGAGCGGCTTACAATCTCCTTCCCTTCCCCTCCCCACAACAGACACCCTGTGAGATAGGTGGGGCTGAGAGAGCTCTGAGAGAACTGCTCTTGAGAACAGCTCTGACAGAGCTGTGACTGACCCAAGGTCACCCAGCAGCTGCATGTGGTGGAGTGGGGAATCAAACCCGGTTCTCCTGGATTAGAGACCACACTCCTAACCACTGCACCAAACTGTACAGGGTGTTGAGGCCATCTCCAGGTGAAGGAGCGAAGACTAAAATGCTCTGCTTGTTCATTGGCTCCCCCAAAATGAGCAGGATTTATTTCCACACATGCCTGGATCACTAAGTTGGGTTGTGACTCGCAGTGTTCCCTCTAAGCTCAGTTAGTGTGAGCTAGCTCACAGTATTTTAGTCTCCAGCTCACACATTTTTGACTTAGCTCAGGAAGGATGGCTCCAGAGTAAACTAATTTCTGCAGTAGCCAAATCACTCGCTCACAACTTTAATGCCAGTAGCTCACAAAGTAGAATTTTTGCTCACAAGACTCCACAGCTTAGAGGGAGCATTGGTTGTGAGGGCAGTCCATCCCCTCCTGATTATAAAGACACCTGCATCCCAGCCAGAGGGGTTACACAGCGGAGCGGCTCATTCGGCCAGTGCTGCCCTGTCGATCCTGTTAGTAGCTATCAGCGCAGGGACCACCACTGGCCCCCTATGGCTCATTGCTGTTTCCTGGCCCACAAGCCTTGGATTCTCCTAGAGAAATGCCAAAGCTCAGCAGCAGAGAACTTAGTTGCATTTTTAGTAGAACTTTGTATATTCTGCCTTTCCCCACGGCTTCCGCGCAGAAGGTATCAGGTTGTTAGAGCAGGACAATACAAAGCCAGATGGATCAGTGCAGCTGCTGCCAGGTTCGGTTCCTCCCGTCTCCACTTAAAAGCGATCTTGAGGAGCAGGAGCTGGGGAAGACCTTCCTCTGCCCGGCTCCTTGGAGAGCCACTGCCAGTCAGGATTGACAATGCTGAGCCAGATGGACCAGTAATTTGACTTGGTACAAGGCAGCGTTGTAGGTTTGTAAGGCTCTTTTTGGAAAACTGGGATTCTGGAAAAGGATGTTTATGATTTTATTTATTTTCTATTGGCTATTTATAGTCTGTCTTTCATGCAGAGGGTCGAGGTGGATTACAAAGTGTAAATCAAGTACAATCGACAGGATGGAGCATCCAGTGAGCAATACAATGGGGTCGGGGTTGGATTATGGCCAACGGAAGCACTGAGCCCAGCCCAACAATGGTGCCCCCGGGCCCTTCCCTTGCTTAGCTGACAAGGCATTAAGACTCAAGAAGTGCTGAAGGTGAAATAAGAGATTAAACATTCAGTTTTCTTCCAGACCAGACCCCACAGCTATATTAAATATAAACTTTTAAAAAATATTTAACACTAAATGGCAGTAAGCAATATAAGCAAATTATTTACTTATAACTAGGGCGACAGAAAAAATGCAAAGTTTCAATGCTTTTTAATGCATTTTGAATAAAACTGTTATAAGGGGGAAAATGCAATACAAAAACGTATTGCTTTAATCACCCTCCCAAAGATTATAAGGCAAAATATGATCTGATACGATCTCTACTGAAATTGCAGGATCTTGAGAGCATACTTTTGAACATCCTCTTTCTACAGTAATCAATGTTGGTGGAAAATGTTTAAATATATATATATTCTAATGGAGAAATATCATTATTTGTATGAAACAAAACATCTTTTATCCCATTGCTTTCTAGCCTGGAAGATATATAGCATTTCAATATACGTAGATCAAAAGATGCAAAATAATGCTTATTGTTGCCTACTTATAACTTTTTCCTCTCCTACTTTTTAAAATTGCAGCCTTTGATCAAGACTTCAAAGCTAATCTGGTGTAGCAAACTTGCTTCTAAATTTAGCAGAGAAAAGGTATCCAGCCTCTCTTGTCACATAGCTGCCCCCCCTCTGGTTCCACTGCCCATCATTTCTTATGAATAGCCATTAACAAAAGGAATGACTGAGAAAAATATTTCATCTTCAAGGTGCCCCCCCTCCCTTGGTGCCCAAAGGACATGTTTACTTTGCTTAATGGTTAATCCAGGGCTGAATAGGGTTTGGACTACAGATGCCAGAAAGCAAACAGTAGTCTCAAACAGAGTGGAAACAAAGCATGTGCTTTTAAACATGATTATGTTAAGTGGTGTAGAAACTACTTAGTCTGAAGCATACTTAGTGTTAAGTAGCAAAATAGTAGTGTAGGTCACAGTCTCTATCCCTTTACCAATGCAACTTTCTGACCATTTCATTATAGTACAGTCCTATTGACCCGTCCAAAAAGTCCTCCTGAATAATTCTGTTTTGTATAGTTCGCGGAAACTCAGGACAGTGGGAGCCCCTCCTAACTTTCTCAGGGAGGCCGTCCCATAAGGTGGGGGGGGGGCACAGGTGGCTGTTGGTCTTGCCCATGTGCAGGATGGTACCTGCAGAAGGCCCTGCGGGGATGAGCGAAGTTGGTGTGGCGGTGCATATGGGGAGAGGTGGTCCCACAGATTCTCAAGCCCAAAGCCACAATGGGCTTTTGAACAAGAGCATTTCCCAGAGATGGGGTTTTTATCCTGAGCATTCAAAGCTCATGCATTCACAAATGTGACCATGATAATCCTTAAAACAATCCTTTAAATTAAACTGGGATTATTACTCCCATTTTGCTAAAGGATGCAGGGCGGTCGTCAATGTTCCCTCTAAGATGTGGAGTCTTGTGAGCAAAAATTCTACTTTGTGAGCTACTGGCACTAAAGTTGTGAGTGAGCAATTTGGCTGCTGCATAAATTAGTTTGCTTTGGAGCCGTCCTTCCTGAGCTAAGAGGAAAATGTGTGAGCCAGAGGCTAAAAAACTGTGAGCTAGCTCACAGTAACTCAGCTTAGAGGGAACACTGGCGGTCATGATGCTGGGGAATGAGTTTAGGCTACAATCCTAAAGACGTTTTCCTGGGAGTAAGCCCCACTAAATAAAACCGGACTTACCTCTGAGTAGACCTGTTTAGGATTGCCCCCTTAGGGTCTTGTCTCAGGCAGGCTGACGCCATGGCTGAGGTGAGATTTAATATGGGAAGCTGCTTTATACCACATTAGGCCACTGGTCCATCTGGCCACGTATGGCCCCCTCTGACTGCTGGCAGCTCTCGAGCGTCTTGGGCAGAGAGTGGTCTAGGGGACCAGCTCTGCTACCTGAGAGCCCCTTAAGTAGAGGAACAGGGGGGGGGGGCTGAACCTGGGGCCTTCTGCCTCTAAAAAACTTGCTCTGTGAGTGGTACTGTAGAGAAAATAACAGTCTGATGCACACAATTTTGGTCACATATCACGTCATTCATGGAAATCTGGTTTCTGGTACTAGAATACATGACAAACCATATGATACTCCCAAAGAATTATAATGTTAAGGACTACATGATTCTATAAAACTGCAAGTTTATAGTTTAATGGCTGTTGTAGAGCTCATATAGTAATATGAGAAACATTACCAAGAAATGGAAAGAAAGTAGATTTGATTTATTGAATTGTTATTGCTATTATGTTATTATTATTATTGTCACAGTTGTATGTTAATTTTATTATACACTGTGTATTAAGTTTCAAAAATTAAAAATTAAATTAAAAAATAAAAACGTGCTCTGCCACTTAGCTGTCATCCATCTTGCTCTCTTTTGACTGGCTCTCCAACGTCTCAGGCAGAGAGAGGTCTTTGCAAACATCTGCTGCCTTTTAATTGAAGACACCATGGGTTGAACATGGGACATTTTATGTGCTAAGCATGTGCTCTACCACCAAGCCCTGGCCCCTCTCAACTGTCTGGAGAGGCAGAAAGCAAAGTTCTCTCTTTTCCCCTGCCTATATAAAACTGAAGTTAACATTACTGTTTCAGTAGAAGACCGCTATTTTTATCCAGCGTGGGTGTGAGAAAGAACAAGTGCGTGTTTTCTCTTACCGGAACCACCAAGGATGTGACGCCACTGGCCAAGCCATTCAGGATCCGGCCGACGTAAAGCATCCAGATGTTCTGGGCAGCAATGATGATTGTGAAGCCAACAACATATGGGAGCGTGCAAACCATCAGGCTCAGCTTCCTGCCAATTTTATCTACCACGTAACCTCCCAGAATTCCGCCAGCTGCAGCACCCAGAGTCACTACAGACTGCATAACACATATAAGAGGAAAACATGAGTGAAAACACGACGTCGGACTCCTAGTGGGGGAATCTGCTTTTAAGCTCCTTGGGGGCAGGGACCTGACTTTGCTGACGCTGGATTGCCACGTACCTGATGTTCATTTCCAGTTCTTCAAAAGGCTAGTCTTGCATAGTGGTTAGAGTGCTGAATGAGAAGCTGGGAGATTCAGACTCAAATCCCTACTCCCCTTGACAGACATGGGGAGATGTCTGGCCTGTCACACTCCCTCAGCCTGACCTTCCTCACAGGGTTGTTGTAGTGATTAAATGGAGGAGGAAGGAGAGTTGTCTACACCGCCCTGAGCTCCTTAGAGCAAGGGCAACAGAAAAATGTACTAGATAGATTTTTTTCATAACAACAACAGACAGTGGGGCTGGAGGAAACCAAACTCTGAATGCCCAAAAGAGGCCAACCTTGGTGGTAGTTGGAAGTGCCATCAAGTTGCAGATGACTTATGGAGACCCCGCAGGCAAGAGACAGACAGAGGTGGCTTGCCATTGCCTGCCTCTGTGTCGTGACCCTGGGCTTGCTTGGTGTATCTTCCGCTGCAGAACTGCTGTCCCTTGCACATCCTTCAAAGCTGCCCTCCAAATCCACCTTCTCCACGAATGCTGGGGCAGGATCCCCTCAGTTCTCCCCTCCTTCTGCAACTAAGGCCAAATTTAAACAGGATGCTAGTGGAGCAAAATAATCCTCCTACAGGCCTCTGCAGACATACAGTGTCTTGTCTGAACCGGGCTGCTACCCAAGCAAACCAGCCACGTGCACTCAACTAGCACACCAGTGCAACCCCTGCCCGAGATACAAACCTCTAGCACATGAAATAAGAATAGCGGAAGAAACTCCTGGGTCAGTAGCCGGTTGCTTACCCCAGGAGAACAGATCCACGGGATCCAACTGACAGTTATCAGGACAATTTGTTTTTTTTTTGTTTTTTCTTCTGGAGAAAAGGGCCCATCTCTCGTCTCTGATCAATTGGTTGCTTTTGTTCATCCCCCAAGAGACTTACCCCAAACCAAGATGCTTGGTTGTCATCAAGTCTTAAAGCTGGATTGGCGCTTTGCTTCAAGGCTGGGATGGTTGGAGAGCTGTAACCGAGGACGAATCCGAAACTTAGTGGTCCCAACACGGCGGCAAACGTGGCCAGGTAGAGATTCCTGTTCTGGACTCTGCTGCAAGAGAAGCAGAAGTGAGTCGAAGAGAAGAGGCCTCCTCCGCAAAGCTGAGCAGAGCACAGCACCCAGGATGGAGCCACTGTTTACAGTGTAGAACTGGAGAGTCCCGGGTTCCAATTCCCATGAAGGTTACCATGTAACTTTGGACCAGCCACTCTCTCAAACTATCCTACCTCACAGGGTTGTTGTGAGGATAAAATGGAGGAGGGGGTAGCCATGTAGGCTGTCCTGAACTCCTTGGAGGAAGGCCAGGGATAAAAACATAACAGACAGTAACAGAAGTTTACATTTCAAATCTTATTTTAAGACCACTGTAGATGGATCCATTCAGTCTCCCTCCCCCCCGCCCCCCCAGTCTGAAACTCCTCAGAGGTTGCAAACACGAAATACACACATCCATTTTATTTATTCAAGCCATTTACTAGCTTCTTCACTGCCCATTAGGACATTAGGACAATAGAATTGGCAAAACAAGCATTACTAAGCATCCACACATCCATGTGGAATCTGTGCTTAAAAACAGGGCACCGATGCCCCACCAGAAATCTTAGTTACCTGGTGGCTTCTGAGATGTTTAAGACACCTCCAAGGTTGCTGGGTTTTTTTACCTCCACAAACCTGCTTTTAAAAAATACAAGACTGGATCTCTGGAAAATTAATTTTGCACCAAATACCAGAATTTCCACACACACACATGGCATGCTGATGCAATCCCAAATCAATTCCCCCCCCCCCCCCCAACCATCTGCAATAGCAAACATCCACAGTGTGTTTATGGATGTGGAGATGTGTTGCCCTTACTTTGGAGTCTGGCCCCCCACATATCTGGAACTAGGAGCAGGCTTTCCTGTTCCTCTTTATCAGGCATGTTTGGAATTGCTGCACTTCTCTTTCCAGAGTTAACCACTGTTAAGCTGAGACACAAGAAGCCTCGTTTGTGGACACAAGGAAAGGAGGAGACCTCGAAGCCAAAGGCCCACCAGAAACACTTCAGTAAACCCCAGCTGAGTCGAATCTCAGCAAGGGAGAGGGGATCAGATAGTGCAGAAAATCATTCTAGCTGTCACTTGATGAAATTGCCCTCGAAGGAGAAATTTGAAACATGCTGGGCCTTAAGTATGGGTCCATTTGAGCTCTCCTGGTTTCCCCCAAGTAACCATCTGAGTTTGCAGTTATCAACAAGGAACCCAGCTTCAGAGAGTAAGTTGACATCAGGTCTTTCATTGTCTACCTGTTATTTTACTGAAACCCCCATGGGCCATCAATATGTTCTCAAATTTACGAAGCATGTTTGCTTAGAATTTCTTGGCATAAGAACATAAGAGACGCCAATGTTGGATCAGCCCAAAGGCCCATCCAGTCCAACACTCTGTGTCATACAGTGGCCAGAAATACCAGGTGCCATCAGGAGGTCCACCAGTGGGGCCAGGACATTAGAAGCCCTCCCACTGTTGACCCCCCCCCAAGCACCAAGAAGACAGAGCATCCCTTGCCCCAGAGCCCCTATCTATACCTTGTGGCTAATAGCCACTGATGGACCTCTGCTCCTAGGCATAGTTAATCCACATCTTCCCCAAGGTTGCCAGCTCCACTCTGGCCTACTCCTGGAGATTTGGGAGCATTGCTCGGGGAGAAGGGGTAGTTTGGGGGGGGGGGAAGGGGAGCTTAGTGGAGATGTGGTTTCTATGGTCCAGCCTCCAAAGCTGCCATTTCCTCCAAGGGAACCGATCTCTGAAGTCTGGAAAGCAGCTGTAATTGCACGAGAAGTTCAAGACCCAACAGGAGGTTGGTAGCCCTAGCCTCTGCACCCTTGCCGAAAATCTGGCTGAGAGCCAGCATAGTGCAGTGGTGAAGAGAAGCTGGAGAACCGGGTTTCATTCCCCACTCCTCCTCCACATGAAGCCTGTTGTGTGACCTTGGGCCATTCACGGTTCTCTCAGAACTCTCTCCGCCTCCCCTCTCCTCACAAGGTGCCTCTTGTGGGGAGAGGAAGAGAAGAAGACTGTAAGCTGCTTTGAGACTCCTTAAGGTAGAGAAAGGCAGGGTATTAAAAACCTCTTCTTCATCTTCAATGCCTTGCTAGATCATACGAACTAGTCCAGCATCCTTTGCAAGAATCTCAGCAACCAGCAGGCACTGGGTGGACCACTAGAAACTGTATAGTGGTGTGCCTGTAGACCACAGTCTATCTTCTGCCAATCCTCTACTTTAGGGGATAGCGAGAATTGTCCTGCTGGATCAGACTAGTTAAGTTTAGGGCTCTGTCAAACAGCAACCAACCAAATGCCTCTAGCCCCTACCAAGCAAGGAATATGCTCTTTAATCTCTACATGAAACCACTGAGTGAGGTTACCCGGAGCATGTACTCTCTTGGGACTGGATCTTGCGTTCATCTGTGTTCCGCAATATCATGTAGCACACCTCCATTTTGGAATGCTGGGGCATCTGCCCACCCCCTTGTACGAATTCCTCCCTTACGTTTGTACTTTTCTATGTATATAAGAATGTGTGTGTGTGTGTGTTAAGTGCCATCAAACTGCTATTGACTTATGGTGACATTATGAATTAATGTCCTCCAAAAAGTCCTATCGTTCTCAGCCTTGCTCTGGTCTTGCAAACTGAGGGCCGCGGCTTCCTTGACTATGTCAATCCATCTCATGCTGGGTCTTCCTCTTCTCCTGCTGCCTTCAGCTTTTCTCAGCATGACCGTCTTCTCAAAATATGACTGAAGTACGATAGCCTCAGGTTAGGCATTTTAGCTTCTAGGCAGAGTTGAGGCTTCATTTGATCTAGAACCCACTCCTTTGTCTTTTGGGCGGTCCACAATGTCCAGAAAACTCTCCTCCAACACCACATGTCAAATGCATGTGTGCATTTAAATAAAACATGTCTGTCAATTGAATAGAGTCCATGCTTCTGAAGAAGAGGGCTCTGGCTCACAAAAACACAGGTCACAATACATCTGTAAGTCTTTGAACTGCCGCAAGAGTCTTTGTTACTCTTTTTTTTGGGGGGGGGCTTCAAGTTGCAGCTGACTTACAGGGACCCCTTATCGGGTTTTCAAGGCAAGAGATGAACAGAGGTGGTTTTGCCATCGCCTGCCTCTGCACAGCAACCCTGGACGGCCTTGGTGGCCTCCCATCCAAGGACTAACCAAAGGCTGACTCTGCTAAGCTTCTGAGAACTGACAAGGTCAGACCAGCCTAGGCGAACCAGATTAGGGCGATAATTAAATGTCATCCAGTCACAGCCGACTCATGGTGACCTCTCATGGGGTTTTCAAGGGGAAAAAATGAGCAGAGGAGCTGTGCCACTGCCTTCCTCTGCATAGCGACTGCAATCTTCCTTGGTAGTCTCCCATCCAAGTACCGGCCGGGGCTGACCCTGCTTAGATTTAAAGCTCTGACAAAGCTCAGGTTAGTCTGGGCTATTCAGGCTGCTGCATTCATTGCAAGGGGGAAGAAGGAGGAGGAGGAGGAGATTGGATTTATACCATGCCCTTCACTACTGGAAGGAGTCTCAGAGCCAGGGGTCATTTCCTGCAGGAGCGCACAAGAACGGAGCTCCGGCAGTAAAGAGCCCAGGGGGCGGGCACATGCAACAAGCCCCACCCCCTGCTCCCAGCAGCCCTCAGTCAGAGCAAGAAGCAGCCAGGTAAGCTGAAGAGCCCCCCCCGGCCCCCTGGTCAAAAACAGTCCAGTGCCACCTTTAAGACCAAGTTTTATTCAGGTACAAGTTCTCCCTCCTCTGCGAGGACAGATCTGCATGTCCCCCCCCCCCCCAATAGCTAGCAATCCAAAACAGTCCAATGGAACCTGAGCGGTGGGTGTTGCCTTCTGATACACTTCCGATGATGTCAGGGGGTGTGGCATATACAAATAAGTTATGCTAATGAGTTATGCTGATGAGCTCCTGCACCTCTTTTTCTACAAAATGACCCCTGCTCAGAGCAGCTTACAATCCCTTTCCCTTCCCCTCCCCACAACAGACACCCTGTGAGGTAGGTGGGGCTGAGAGAGCTCTCTCGAGAACTGCCCTTGAGAGAACAGCTTTGAAAGAACTTATGACTGACCCAAGGTCACACCGGTAGCTGCATGTGGAGGAGTGGGGAGTCAAACCCGGTTCGTCCAGATTAGAGTCCACACACTCCTAACCACTACATCAAACTGGCTAAAACAGCTCTGGAATATTTGCCGATTAAAAGCTATTTCAGTTAAACATGTAAAAGGAAAAACACTCTCTTAGCGTGATTGGATTATTTACCCTGATGGTTAAGCTAGTGATTCAGAGCCTGGTAAACACGGGCTTTAGATCATCTGACCTCAGTAGCAATATGCAAACTGCTGATCTAGCTTGATGTCAGAGGAGCAGCAGGGGTGACTGGCAACAAAGCCTTAGGTAACTTTGCACCTCTTGATCCCTTTTCAGTTATGTGGGTTGCAAAATCCAATCTTCTTCCCAGCAGACAGGGCTTAGCTAGAATGACTGCATTTGGGCCACATTCCAGAAACAGTTCTAACAAATTTGGCATTTTAAAATTAAAAACAAACAGTAGGGGGCAACATGGAGAAGGCCGAATACAGTGAAGTCTTATTTGCACAGTGAAGTCTTATTTGCACAAGATTTAAGTCCATTCCCTGTCTCAGGATTTCACACGCACAGATAGATAGGAGCACTGCTGCCAAATACTTATCAAAAATTTTGTTGCAACAACCGTCTGTAAGCAGAGGTGGCAAAAGTGACAGAGCCTTGGGAATGAGCTCACAGAAGCCTGTAAGCTTTTGCTCAAATTAATCTGCTAACCATTAGGTTCCACAACACTCTGGGTTCTGTTTGGGAACAGAATAACATGGCTGTGGCAAGCCCTTATGGAATTTGTCCCAGGAGTATGAAGAGCACAGACCACGAGTAGGTAAAGTGCATCAGGGATGGACTTGAATCTGCAAATAGCATACCTGATGATCAAAACAAGGGAGGGAATGCACCCTTTCCTGCTTTGCTAAGATTACTGGGGCAGATCAGCCTCCTTCTGGGATGTGAAAATAAATCATGCTTTCGTCAGCACAGAAATTCATAATACGTGTGCCAGGGCATTGTATTGTCCTAAAATAAATTAACTGAAGTCTCCAGGCAGCCCAAAGCATCCACCTAAGAAGAGCCTGGTTTGCTGTATCTCTGCATGAGTTACTACTCTTTCCTTATCACATTCCAATCTTCCTCTTCTAGAGTGTTACAGAGCTACACCCACCAGTAGGAGAACATCGCTTAAAACAGGCACATGGAAACCAAAATTCTATTTGACTGTTTTAAAGCAATGCATTAACCACTAAATCATGAGGCCGTGTGAAGAATGACAAGTCTCTTCAATGATCATTCTGTACGGGTACTGGTCCTCCGACAGAAGACAAGTCAGAAGTTGATTTATTCCAGGTCTTAGTGAATGCCTTGTATTCGAGCCAATGACCACTCAATGTTGTCTTTTGAGAAGTTTATTTCAGATCACTCTAGTTACTCTTGAACAGATTAAGTAAACCAGAATCATAACTACGTAGAAAACACTAGCGTATGTAACTGTAATTACAAATTTTAAAATCATACATGACATCCCTTTTCCAACCTAACTGGCATTTAAAGATAAAATGCAATTTCTAAAATTCTTGCCAAGCCTTTTCAGAAATGATACGATAGTCTCACTGCAACCCAGATTTGAGAGATTCGGGGGGGTTAGGGTGTAGCTTTCTTATATAGACACAATTGCTTGAGCCTCACATGACTTTCTTAACCATTTAATTAGTTTTCTCCAATGGCATGATCTTAGACAACTCTGAGCGTTCTAAAGAATAACTGTTGCAAACTTTGTTCCATTTGCTCTGGGATTTATTCTGGCCATAAAGTCATTGATTCATAAATTATCTTTCTCAAGGCTGAGGGTTTGCTGGAACAGTGGGAAAAAATGCATGTTTGCAGATGCACACAAGAACCTAGAAGCAAACTCTCAGACCTAATGCATCACAACGTCCTAAAACAATGATCTAAAACTAAAACCAGGAGGCTGATTAATGCGGCAGCTTCAATCATCCACCAGAGCAGCTCACTCTCAGAGGAGCCTTTCCTTCACTTTCCCACATAAATCTGCTATGGGCAGCTACCTTTTTCTAACTGGGAGGTGCCCAGATCAGTGACTTATACAGATATATGCAGTTAAGGTTTCTTTGGAGGTGCACAATACTCACTCTAAAATTAAAACCTTGACAGCTGTTTTCTGAATTAAAACTGGAGGCACTTCTCAGCTATTTGAAGTCAAAGAGATGCTGACTTCGAACATTTGCCTTTCTAGGATCAGGCAGGATAAACAATGCTCAGAACAACTGGGAATGCGTAATCCTCTTTCAACCGTATACACCAGTGGAAAATGCATCCGGCTTCCAGAAACTCGGGCAGAAATACCTGAGATAAACATCCAGCGGTGAGGCTCCCTGGATCCCTGCAGGCTCATGCCTGGTGCCCAAAAGAGGGCTGGATTCCTCAGAAGGCATCGCTGGAGTTGTCAGGAAAGGAGTGTTGCAGCACTGCCTGCGCTGTCGTCAATGGGCCAGCCTGATCCTTAGCCCTGAGTCATAAAAAGAAAAGGGAAGAGATAGGAAGCAACTCCAGGCAGAAGTGAAAGCAAGTCTTGTGACCTCAGAAGATTTAAGCTTTGCCATGTTATTCTTGACTTCGCCTCTCCACATCACAAGGGTCCTCTGTGCTTCAATTAGTGCTAGGGGCAAAACCGGGTAACTGCTGACTGCTGCAATTTCAAATGTTTTGCTATCTCTGTTGGGGCAGCCTGAGATATTTCAGCACCAAACGTCTCCGGTTGCTGTTGCTGTTCAGTCGCACAGTCGAGTCTGACTCTTTGCGACCCCCATGGACCACATCGCGCCAGGCCTTTTTCTACTACAGTGCAATCTTTTTGTGGGAGTAACACACTGCATAGACATGAGTAGGATTCTGAGCAGACCTATTTAGGATTGCACTGTTAATTAGGGCAGCAGTAAACCTATGTATATTTACCAGGGAGTAACCCCACTTCTGAGTAAACAAGTTCAGACATCACATGACACTACGGCACATTTTAACACTGAACCAGGATTTGCTCACAGATGATCACTCAAATCCTGATTTGCCTTGGCAAATGCTGGTTTCATTGCTTTTTCTTTGTAGCCTCCACCCGAAAGGGTTGCCAGGTCTCCCCCCCCCCCCAGTCTCTGGCAGGGGATGGGGGGGGGAAAAGGGCTGTCAGATCCAGGTTGGGAAACTCCTGGAGATTTGGGGTTGGAGCCTGGGGAGGACAGGGACCTCAGTGGGGTACAATACCTTAGAGTCCACCCTCCAAAGCATTCATTTTCTCCAGAGGAACTGATCTCTGTAATCTGAAGATGAGCTGTAATTCCAGGGGATCCCCAGGTCCCACCTGGAGGCTGGCACCCCTGAGGGTACCACTCAGGAGCAAGGCAGGATGTCTGTGCTTACATCTCTTGAAGCCACAGTTCAGACTGAATTTAATAAACCAACTTAGTGGAGTATTCCACATTCAGTAGTCAGTTAACCACTATTTGTTTCATTAAACTATAGCTTTATGTGATGTCCAAACTGAGCCTAAGTCTGCATAATACATCCTCATACCTTCCAATATTTCACAGGTGGAAAATACAGCTTTGTGTTCTTGGAACTCCCCCCCCCCACCCTTTTGGGTTTTTTGCACTTCACGGATTCCCCTCTTCCCATAAACACACTATTAGGTGCTGCCAGCAGCTGGTTTTCTGCAGCCCAAATGCTGTGCAGCAGCCTGTCCTACAGCAGATTCTCTATCAACATTTAAAAAGAGACCTTTATAGCTTCAGTGTGAAAAACAGCAGGTTGAAAGCTACATGGTGCCTTATTGTCTATGCACATGAATGTGCAGTAGGACCAAGACACCTCTAGCTCCTCCAGAGACTTAATTTCTTGGGACTGAGAAGCACCAGACCTCTAGCACACAATGAAGCATGTAAATGTTTTAGAGCATCCCCCAAACTGCCACCAAATGCAAAATGGGGGCAAATTAGGCAGAGTGATTTACCAGGGAATGGGATCGGAAACTGGAGATTACTGACTCACTCTGTGTAATCCTCCTTGAGTCCCAGAAAGAAAACAACACACAAAAATGGATAAATAAATCTTGGGTAAAAAGGGAAAGCCAGCATTTCTGTATCCTCCATCTTATCATAAAGTTGCAGATTAGAACTTTTCCATCCTGCACAGCTACATTTTCCCCAACACCCAAATTTTTTTAACATTCAATATGATTTTTTTGTTTAACTACAAAACTGGGTCAGTTCTTTGTAGGGTTGCCAACGACCTGGAGGGGGGAAAATGTCCTGCGTGTCTCTTGAGAAACCTGTATAAGGGCCAAGAAGCGACAGTTAGAACCGGATATGGAACAACTGATTGGTTTAGCATAGGAAAAGGAGTACGACAAGGATGTATATTGTCACCTTGCTTATTTAATATATATGCAGAGTACATCATGCGAAATGCTGGCCTGGATGAATCACAAGCGGGAATTAAGATTGCTGGGGAAAAGATCAACAACCTCAGATATGCAGACGATACCACTCTAATGGCTGAAAGTGAAGAGGACCTAAAGAGCCTCTTGCTCAGGGTAAAAGAGGAGAGCGCAAAAGTGGGCTTGAAGCTCAACATCAAAAAAACTAAGATCATGGCATCCGGCCCCATCACTCCTTGGCAAATAGAAGGGGAAGTCGTGGAAATAGTGACAGACTTCACGTTCCTGGGATCCCAGATCACCGCAGACTGTGACTGCAGCCATGAAATTAAAAGACGCCTGCTCCTTGGGAGGAAAGCGATGGCGAACCTAAACAACATGATAAAAAGTAGAGACATTACCCTGCCAACAAAAGTCCGCATGGTCAAAGCAATGTTATTCCCAGTAGTCATGTATGGCTGCGAGAGTTGGACTATAAGGAAGGCCGAGCGCCGAAGAATAGATTCTTTTGAACTATGGTGCTGGAGAAGACTCTTGAGAGTCCCTTGGACTGCAAGAAGATCAAATCCTAAAAGAAATCAACCTTGACTGTTCCCTGGAAGGCCAGATAATGAAACTGAAACACAAATACTTTGGCCACCAAATGAGAAGGGAGCAATCACTGGAGAAGACCCTGATGCTGGGAAAGACTAAAGGTCAAAGAAGACGGGGACGGCAAAGGATGAGATGGTTAGACAGTGTCATCGATGCAACGAACATGAAATTGAGCCAACTTCAGAGGACGGTGGAAGACAGGAGGGCCTGGCGGGATCTGGTCCATGGGGTCGCGAAGAGTCGGACTCAACTGTGCGACTGAACAACAACAAAAAGTGTGATGTTATTTACCAGGAGATATTTGCCTCCATGCCCTTAAAAACTTTAACTGCCCAGTTCCACCAATACTCCCTTCTAAGCTGTGGAGTCCTGTGAGCAAAAATTCTACCTTGTGAGCTACTGGCATTAAAGTTGTGAGTGAGCAATTTGGCTGCTGCATAAATTAGTTTGCTCTGGAGCCATCCTTCCTAAGACAAAAATGTGTGAGCCGGAGGCTAAAAAATGGTGAGCTAGCTCACACTAACTCAGCTTAGAGGGAACACTGATTTCCTCCCATTAAGCCTCTGGTAAAGCAGCACAGCGCTTCTCCTCCAGGCTGCTGGCAACTCTATTTCTTTGCGACCTTCCAGTTGGTCCTAATACAGGTCTTATTCTGCAGCTATCCTCTTTAAAGAGCTTAATATTGAGTCAATTCTTTATAGGAGCCTCCCAGGCAGCTGCAGGGCTCCCATCTCTGCAGTATCCAAAGCTGCAAGACCAGGGGGAGAAAACAGAAGACATTCACGGAGAGGCATATTTCTTTAAAAAAACAGCGTGGAAGCCTTCCAGTCGCTCGGGACTCTTCCTTAGGGGCAAACTTAAAATGGGGAGGGGAAAATCATACCACTCTTTCTGCACCATATCATAAGACAATGGACACAGTACAGCTACACAGCAGCACTTCCAAGCCTGGCTGGTTTCAGAGAGAGAGAGCCCCAAGTATGCAAATACTTTCCCCATGGATGCAGACGGAAATTTAGAAGTACATCACATCGCCGGAGTACATCACTTTGCCTGGTATATTTATCCGCAAACCACTTGTGAACCAGAAGAGCCTCAATTCAAGTCTCTGTTTTGCCATGAAGCTTGCTTGGGTCAATCAGAAGTAATCAGCTTAAACCTACCTCATTAGATCGCTTGGGACGAAAAGCAACAAGCGATGACATTTACATTACGAGATAGAAATATAACTCAGCATCTCAAAACACTCTGAACACCCAACATTCCCCTTGCTTTCGTCATTGTGACCTGAGGAAACCGTGCATCATACAGACTTTGATGTCAGCCAGCTCATCATATGAAGTAATAATGAAGACAGCACAGAAACACGGAAACCTTGCCTTTCCCTCACTCCTGAGTATCCACAACCACACACAGAACAGTTTGGGATAAGGCAGTAGCACTGGCAGTCAGAAGGCTTTCTCTAGCAGCCTTAATGCTTCCTTCTTATTAATTCTAATTATTTGTTTTGGACAGCAATTAATGGCAGGGGTCATTCCCTATGAAAACCTGAAGACAAGTGTCCCCACCATTGTTGAACCTGAAGGCTAAGAATACCACCCTCCAGGTAGGACTGAGGATCCCCTGGAATTACAGCTCACCTCCAGACTACAGAGATCGGTTCTCCTGGAGAAAACGGATGCTTTGGAGGGAGGACTCTGTGGCATTGTACCCCACTGAGGTCCCTGTCCTCCCCAGGCTCCATCCCCAAATCTCCAGGAGTTTTCCAACCTGGCTCTGGCAACCCTACCCTCACCCCCCATCCCCCAGCGGACGGCCAGTGGGGATCTGGCTACCCTGCTTGAAGACACTTTGGGAATTTTGAGTCTGCCACAGGGATGGGGAGGCCAATAGCAAAATACTGGGACGTATCACAAAATGTTAGGTCCCAAGCCAAGCACCTCGGAGGCCGCTGTTTCCAAATGGATGCTCCTTGTAGACACACAAAGGTGATGTCTCCCGGGCTCTTCTGAAGCACCTCCTGCTCCATGACATGAAGGAAAGCCAGGACTGGATGTTTGTTTGAAGGGAAGAAGTGGGCACTAAGTAGAACACTGGCAAATACCATACTGGCCACAGGCATCAAACTGGGAATCACTGACAATAAGGCCTGCGTGGGGGGGGGGTCAGAGAGGCAACCCCGTGATGCTCTTTAAGCAGAGTGAATGCTAAAGGAAGGAACATAGGAAGCTGACTTGTACCAAGGCAGACCACTGAGCCAACTTTTTAAATTTACTTTTACTTCTGTTTTTACAACCTAAGTCCTAAATAGCAAACCCTCATCTCGTGAGAGGAGAACCTAAAAGTTATTGTGTAACTTAACAACAGCTGCCAAAGATTTCCCCCCACATTGAAAATTGTAATCCCCCATCCCCAGCCAAACTGAAATTATAGTCCATTCACACCATCAGATTTTGTTGAGCATGCATTATATACTTCACCATTCCACTTTTCAACCCCTCCCTTCCCCAAAAAATTGTTCCCAAAGCAGCTTGCACCAACTTAAATCTAACACAAATATTAATTAAAATATGCATTAGCAATGGCATTTAGCAGCTAGGGCTGCCAGTTTTAAAACCGGTCCCTCTAGCTGTCCTTTTAATATCAGTGTGATCTGCAGCAATTGCCAGGAAATGTTATTCAACTCCATGCCACGAAACACTTCATCTATCCATTTCTGTACATTAAACATCTGTTAAAGAAACAAGATGTTTGTTCTAGACATCTGGCAACCTTACTGGCAGCTGGGAGGGAAAAGGGGCTCTTAGATGGAGCACTGAGCCCAAACATGAGAGGTGCCTTGTTATGGCATCTTTCCCTGCTGGCCTCAGCATTGCAGCTAGACCCAGACACCCAGACCTGATGGATGGATGGATGACTGGCTGCATTTGGACAGATGGAGGATGGATCTGAGCTGGACTTAGGAATGATGAAGCATCTGGCTCCTCTCTCTTATCCTGTTGACCTCGCCAATAACAGCTAGGTGGGAGGATAGGGTTGCCAGCCTCCAGGTGGGGCCTGGAGATACCCCGCTTTTACAACTGATCTCCAGCTGACAGAGATCATCTCCCCTGGAGAAAATAGCTGCCTTGAAGGGTGGACTTTCTGGCATTGTACCATGAGGAGGCCCCTCCCCTCCCCAAACCTCGCCTTCTCCCGGATCCACGACCAAAGTATCTGGGTATTTTCCAACCCAGAGCTGGCAACCCGGGGGGGGGGGGGAGGGACACCTCTCAGTTGGAGCTGAGTCCAGGCACAGCGACGGTACCAACACAACATACAGATCAAATCTGAGTCAGTTTCTCCAGAAGAAGATTCTTAGGGGTCTTACCTGGGTCACTTTTGCCTCTAGCCCCCTTGGCTGGTGTCCTTTCTCTTGCTTTAATACCTAACCCTCAACAGATCAGTCCCCGCTAAAGAGCACACACAAACAGCAGCGGTGTTGGGACGAAAACCGAGCGTCTCCAGGCGAGAGCACAGCAAGAGGTTGCGCGGCCTGGACTCAAACTCACCTTCCCCTCGCTCGGAGTCCAAGGACAAAGCCTCTGTTTGGGCACAAGCCACCAAAAGCTATCTCTGGGATCAGCTGCGGGGCGGGCATAAAGAACAGAGGCTGTTTTGTGCGAGGGGAAGCAAAAACAATACCGAACCGGAAGCCCTTCCGCTAAAAATTCCCCCGTAGGCCACTACTGTTGGGCCTCTCTAGGCCTTGGAGGTCTAGGACATAGAGATTAAAAAAACAGAGCCTCTCTCGAACGCCTTCATCGACACTTCCGGTTTAAGGGAATTCTGGCGTTCCGCTCTAGCCTCTAAGAAAGAGTCTCTAGAGGAGTAGAAAAGAGGGAGAGTCCAGCAGCACCTTAAAGACTAACAGAAATCTGTGGCACGGGACGAGCTTCCGGAACTCACTCCGCTCATGAAATCTCTAGAGGTTTTATATGTAAGCACAGCGGAGTGGCCGTCAGAAACCGGCGTTTGAATATTCTTCGGACGTTCAGGCTGTACGTGCAACTCTAGCGCGTTCCCCTCGACGACCAGTCTTCCTTTCAAACTTCAAAAAGCATATAGAGGGTTGCCACCTCTGGGTTCGGAAACACCTGGAGACTTTGGGGGTGGATCCGGGAGAGGGCAGGATTTGGTGAGGGGAGGGACCCCAGGAGGGGGAGTCCACGCCACCCTCCAAAGCAGCCATTTTCTCCAGGGGAACTGATCTCTGTAGGCTGGAGATCAGCTGTCAAAGCGGGGGACCTCCAGGCCCTACCTGGAGATTAGCAATCCTATATCTGGATATTATTTTTGAACATACGCTTTGCCCTACGGCGATAGGAAACGTCATTTCCTGGTTAGGGCGGAAGTGGATTTTGTACAGGGCGATGGAAATCGGGAGAGGGAAAGGCGACAGGAGCTGGGCGATGACGTCGGGTGCGCGCGCCGGAAGTGCCTGGGGTAGAGTCTGTGCTGGGACCCGGCGGCGGCAGCGGCCAAAGGTTCGGACCCCCCCCCCCCGCGCCGAGAGAGCGAAAAAAGGGGGCAAGCAGGAGGAAAAGGAGGGGGGCGAAGGGAAGCGCCAGCTAGTGGGGGGAGGTAAGGGGAGGCGCTTGCCGTGGCGGCCTACTATGGCGAGTGGGCGGAGCCTTGAGGGAGGTGGAGAAGAAGTCGCGAGTGGGGTCGGGTGGGCGAGAGTGTGGGATGAGGTTGAGGAAGGGCCCTATTCGGGAGTGGAGGGGAGAACGTCCGTGCCTTATTTGGAGGTGACGATTAGAGTAGGAGAAGAGCCCAGCTGGATCACGCCCCAAAGTCCGTTAAGCCCGGCATCCCGTTTACTTCAGTGCCCAGCCAAATGCTGGGGGGGAATCCTGCACTAGCCAGCCATGAAAGCCACAGACCTCTCTCCTTGTTTGGCCCTCACCATCAGGTACTGAAGGCCTTGGAAGCCGTCCCCTGTCCTGTTTAGGCGCAGGTCGCCATGAAGACGATAGCCCTCTCCTGTTCTTGATTCTGCCCTGATCTAGATAGCCCAGACTCGTCAGGTCTTGGAAACTAAATAGGGTTGACCCTGGCTACTATTTGGATGGGAGACCTCCAAGGAGTACCGGGGTTGTGACGCAGAGGCACACAATGGCAGCCCGCCTCTGGACATCATCTCTTGACTTGAAAACCCTACCGGGTCGCCATAAATCAGCTGTGAATTGACAGCAACAGCAACAGATTCTTGATTCCCAGGATCTGGTGATTAGGACTTTTCTTCTTTGGGTTAATGTTGGTGACATACCCTCTCCCCCAAGCCTTTTGTCTCCCTTTCCTTCACTTAGTTTCTACTTCAAGAGCCAAATTCAAATTTAAACCTCCCGCTTCACTTGCTCTCACCCAATTCCTGCCAGAATTTTTATTATTTGTAATCTCTGCCCTTTTCCTCTCCTACATAATAATAGTAGGTTTCATGCAAACATCTGAAAAAACACAAGTATTGTGAAAGGTGAAACATAAATTAAAAACCACAAAATCCTTCCCACAGACTTTAGAGTATAAATAGGTGCATAAGGAAAGGCTAGAGGAAGACAGCCAAACAAAGATACATTTTTAAAATCAAAGTATTAACCAAATATAAAACATTAAGGCTCATATAATATAAATTTTCAGAGTTTCAATAATGGAAGATATTAATCTAAATGATATATTACTGAAATATTGATCTAAATTAATTTGTAAACTTCTCACACGGTTCAAACAGGAAGTATTGTGATTAGATATAGAAAATTCAATCATTGTACATACAATTTCACCAAGGTAAATGTAGCCAATACCTTAAATAACCATTTGTTTTTTATTGCATAGATGCATGATTTCCAGTACTTACCATAAATGTTTGACTGTTACTATCACATGTACTGTTAATTTTTGATATTTCCTTGGGATCTCTTTACGCAGTAGAGAAGAGACAGTTCTGGTGCAAGTGGTATTTTATTTTCAGTATTTCCTCAGTATTTTGTATTTCTGATACAATAGGCCCTCATATCAGAGGGATTCTCTCCACTCATATAAGCTTGTATAGCAGCTCCATTCATCATCACAGGGTCTCTGTTGCTCCCCTTCCCAGGGTTGTGAGAACTGCTTGGGTATGTGCATTTTCAGTGGCCATTCCTATTTTATGGAATGGTCTTCCCAAAGAGGCTAGAAAGGTATTGTTCAAAATTTCTGTAAATGGTTTTAGTGTGCATTATATAGTCTCTGAGGGACAATTATAAGTGGCAGGCAATTTAGAGAAAATTTAAGAATTGTTTTTAAAATGTTTTAAAAAAATTAAAATGTTTAACAAAAATCTTTTGCATTGTTTTTAATGTTGTTTTTAATGTATGTTTAATGCGTTGTTTTTAATGTATGTGGCTTTATTGCATGAGCCAGTGTGTCCAACAGAGAAAAAAGAGGGATGCCCATTTTCATTAGCACATTTTCAATAAATAAGTGTAGCAGTTGTTAATTTCTAGCAAGCATTTTATATTTAGGTGTAGGGGGTTTGTTGTGTCCTCGTAGCAAAATCAATAAATGCCAGAACTAGTGTTATACGTTCTCGCAATTTTTGTAAGTACTGCTGAGTACTTGTAGAATGATCTGTCTAGTTTGGACTGCATTATTATTACTATTATTATTTGGTGCAGCTAAACCAGTATGGTGTAGTGATTAGGAGCACAGACTCTAAACTGGGAGAACTGGGTTTGATTACCTATCCCTCCGCATGCAGCTGCTGGTGCAACCTTGGGTCAGTTACAAGTTCTTTCAGAGCTGTTCTTTCACCAGCAGTTCTTGAGAGTGCTCTGTCAGCCCCACCTACCTCACAGGGTGTCTGTTGTGGGAAGGGGAAGGAGATTGTAAGCTGCTCTGAGACTCCTTCAGGTAGTGAAGGGCAGGTTATAAATCCAGTCTCCTCTTCCTTCATCTTCATCTACTTCATTTTAAATACTGCTTTTGGTTTGCTGAGCTCTGTACAGCACCAACACAGTGTGAGTGCTAAGTTAGTGTTAATGCCCTTATTTCTAATACTCATTTGCTTAGAGTAAATCACACTGGCTTACAGTTCTCGTTGCTCCTCCAGGAGGAATGGCCCCAGTGGGATCCCAAGCCCTGTTGGGCTTCAGGAAAAGAGGAGGAGGACATTGGCTTCTGCCTGCTTAACAACATTCTAACACAGACAACTATCTAAGGTTGGTGTGCATCTTTTCCCATCCAGGTCTGATACAGGGAGAAAAGGCAGTGCAGGGAACGGAGCTGTAAAGTTGGATGCAACTAACATACGGAGTAGTTAATCTAGCTCCCTGGTGCAAAGGAAGGCCAATTATAAACAGTTTCTCAATAAGCGTGAGGACTGGAAATGTGCTTTATTTCTAACAGTAGTCTGAGATTGACATGAAGCCAAAATAATTTTGCACTGGCCAGCAAAATTCCACAAGCTCAGTTGCGTTGCAGTCATGCAGGTTTTTAGACCTCATTGTTGTCAACATATGGACAGTTTTCCTACAGATGTTGCTGATTTTGAGTTATATTTGTACTGGTTGATATTATCAGTGTGGGCCTGAAACACAACAGAGGCTATGAGTGTGACAGTTTTTTATATACAGTGATGCTTGTGTTTGATTTTACGTAAAACTAATAACATATTTTGATGTACCGCAGGTAAATGTTTCCATAACCTTATGGAGAGAAAGGACTTTGAAGCATGGCTTGATAACATTTCTGTTACGTTTCTCTCTCTGACGGACTTGCAGAAAAATGAGACGCTGGATCACCTGATTGGCTTGAGTGGGGCAGTCCAGCTCAGGCATCTCTCCAATAATCTAGAGACCCTCCTCAAACGGGACTTCCTCAAGCTCCTCCCGCTGGAACTCAGTTTTTATTTGTTAAAATGGCTTGACCCTCAGACCTTACTCACGTGTTGCCTCGTCTCCAAGCAGTGGAACAAGGTCATAAGTGCCTGTATGGAGGTGTGGCAGACTGCCTGTAAGAATTTGGGCTGGCAGATCGATGACTCTGTCCAGGATGCTTTGCATTGGAAAAAGGTGTACTTGAAGGCCATTTTAAGGATGAAACAACTGAAGGACCATGAAGCCTTTGAGACCTCCTCACTGATTGGACACAGTGCCAGGGTTTATGCACTTTACTATAAAGACGGTCTTCTTTGTACAGGTAGGAATGCCCAAAGAACTTGGGCTTGTTGGCAAAGGATATGAGCTGCAAATCAGGAAGCTGCTAGTTTGGATCTCACGTCAGCCACCAACTCACTGGGTGGCCTTTGGCAAGACACCATTCTTGCCTCCCTCTTCCCCATCTGTGGTATGAGGGAAACAAAACTGATCTGTCCTCTGGGGTCATGTAGCGTTTCCCACATTTTTTATCTCAAAAGAGATGTTTTTTTTTCTTTTCCTGAATTAAAATTGGAAGCATGTTTTCATTCAATCACTTGCTTTAGCATATGAGAAAGTAAGAACAACCTGCCCTTGGAGAAACCCAACCCTGACTGCTCCAAGCATGATTCCTGAATGGAGGGACATGAATGGCCAGAGCAGTGACTGGGCCAGGCATAGACAGAGGGCAGGTGAATTTGCTTTGTGTCTGCATTGGGAATGACTGGCTTTATCTATTTTAGAAGATTTCTTTTTCCTAAGATGCAAAGGTGCATACAACAGTAAAATCAAACATGTGATACGTTACAAGAAATGGTCATAAAAGCGCCAACCAATGCAGAAACTAAAAACAGTAGTCATTGAGCAGACGTTATAAACTGAAGTTTGTCAGATATTTGGTATTCTGTTAGGATTGTTCTGGTAAAGGGCCACTCATAAGGGTGGCTGAGTGCCATGTTATGCCTGCCTTTGTCCCTGAGCAATAGGAGGGAGGCCCTAGATTTTCCCTATCAGATAAGGCTGTTGTGAGGCTCAGCTGCCACTAGGCAGCATTGTGTTGAGTCTCTCTACCCTGAACAGGCACCTCTGGGGAGCTGTTTAAATTGCAGTGAAGTTCACTTTGGAGCTGCTGAGATTGCTTTGTATGGCAAAGATCTGGCATGCCACAGTAATGGCCAGTGGGCCTTTGTCTGCTGGGTGCACCTCTGGCTTTAAGGTGTCTCAAAGAAAGTGGCTCCAGGAGCTGCTTTTGTTGTTCAGTCGCACAGTTGAGTCTGACTCTTCGCGACCCCATGGACCACATCACGCCAGGCCCTCCTGTCTTCCATAGTGCTTCGGAGTATGCTCAATTTCATGTTCATTGCATCTATGACACTCATCCTCTGCCATCCCCGTCTTCTTTGACCTTCAATCTTTCCCAGCATCAGGGTCTTCTCCAGTGAGTGCCCCCTTCTCATTTGGTGGCCAAAGTATTTGAGTTTCAGCCTCAGTATCTGGCCTTCCAGGGAACAGTCAGGGTTGATTTCCTATAGGATTGGCTGATTTGATCACCAGGAGCTGCAGTAGGTAGCAGTTGAGTTGAGTCACATGAAGTGGCCTTCAGTCCAGAATTTCTGCATAGTTAGGTCTACTGAACCATTGTTACCATTTGAGGGTGCATTCTTAGGTGCCCACATAGTTCACTTGAGGCCCTGGCCAGGTCTACTGGCCCTCTCCAGGCTCTGAGTGCCTGGATTGTCTGCTGGCCGTGAATTTGGCTGGCGTTTTCATCTGGAAGCGCCTTAAAGCAGCTGTGCCACCTTGTTGTCCTTCAGCCTTTATAAGGAAGCTTACAGGAAATGTGGACTGATTGCATGCTGGAAGGGACAGCAGGAAGTGCACCCTATAACCGAGGGGTGGGGTGGCTTCAGTGTACAACCTTTCAGGGAAGTTTGTTTGCCATGATTGACATTCTTGTCCAGGAGCTGCCGTCCCCCAGCATTTTCTAAGGCACCATGTTTCCTAGAACCCAGTTTAAAAACCCTTCATCTAGTTCACAAGCTCTTGGCAGGCAGTAGCTCTCCAAGGTCTCTGGCCCAGGTTCTTTGAAATGGGGATGACCCCAAGATCTGCATTCAGAGCACGTGTTGTACCACTGAGCTATATAGCCAATTCCTGTGGGAGAAAGCTAAGTTTGAAGATCAGCCCAGACTTGACCGATGGGCCTCCCGATCTTCACACTCGTGTCTGTGTTGTTGACTTGAAGCTGTGTCTGGGTAGGATAATTAATACATGTTTGGAAGCAGGACTTTGTTGTTGACTTGAAGCTGTCTCTGGGTAGGATAATTAGTGCATGTTTGGAAGCAGGACTTTGGAACTATGCACAGAAAGCCTTCCTTGGGCAAAAATGATCAGAATGCAGATCTGAAAGGAATAAGTCTCCTCCTTGTGTGCGTATTTAGGCTTAGTGGCTGATCACCAGTTTGCTTTGAGGAGCTTGTTTGGATAGAGGTGGTGGACTGCATTTCTTGTGTGGGGTGGCAAATGCAACTCTTCAGGTGCATCTGTCTCGATTTCCATTTGTGTTACAAAGAACGCACGGCGTTTCTGCATCCTCTCATGTTTGCTGAGTCAGCCATAGAGAGGGCACAAGAGATTGTATCCTTTGGACAACAGGAGGAATGCGACTTTGTGAGGCCCTTACAAAGCTCTTCTATTTGCCAAGCTTTTGACGATTACACTGTCTCCTAGCAAAAGAACTGTCTTCCAAAGCCCTGTTAAAAAGTACTTAATAATATATCATTTGCAGATAATTGCATAGCATTCAACGTGCTTCCTGTTCCTTTGAACTGCAGGTTCAGACGACTTGTCTGCGAAGCTGTGGGACGTGAGCACGGGGCAGTGCATCTACGGGATACAGACCCACACCTGTGCAGCAGTGAAGTTTGATGAGCAAAAACTCGTCACAGGCTCTTTTGATAACACAGTAGCCTGCTGGGAGTGGAGCTCAGGAGCCAAGACCCAATACTTCCGAGGCCACACAGGAGCAGGTATGTTGCAGGCTCCAAAAGAGGCTGAAGAAGCGTCTTACTGGTTTGAAGACTTTCCTGCACTTTATTAATGGATTTTTGTGTGTGTGCAAAGAATATCTTTAAAATGCCCCAAACACATCCGAATAATATCACGATGAAAAATTGCTCTTTAACAAATTAAAAGGCCGCGCTGCCTTTTAATTTAAGTGTTCAGGAGCAGTTTTTCATAGTGATGTTATTTGCTGAAGTGTTATTCTAAGCAGACTTCACATCCTTCTAAATCTACACAGTTAATCATGCATTTTTGGGCAGAAACTAATTGCAAGATTGATTTTACTGAAATCATTTCTGTCCTGCCCTTCAGTCCAGGCAGGTATGCCACAAGCTTAAAAAAATAGAAACCCCACAACATTGCAGTAAAAACAAAGCCCTCCGCCAGCAACCAGTCCCTAATTCTCACCTTAACCGTATAATTAAAACTAACATCATAAAAAAGTATTACAAACCAGTGCAGCCATTAAAGAGCAGAATATCCAGTAAAGACCCTAGTAAAAAGTTGTTGTCTTTGAAGTATGCAATGGAATGCCAGCAAGGCTGAAGTGAGCAAACATCTGTTGGGAAGGAGCTCCAGAAGAACAGTTGTCATGATCAAGAAGGCCCTCACCCCGGTGGCCCCTTAACCGTACTTCTGATGGTGGAGGCGCTTGGAAGCAGTGTTCCCTCTAAGCTTGAGTTCGTGTGAGCTAGCTCACAGTTTTTTAGCCTCCAGCTCACAGATTTTTGTCTTCGCTCAGGAATGTCTGTCGCAGTTTCCAGTTACTGGCATTGTTACTAGTTTGTCGGGGGACAAGCAGCTCTCCCTCCTGACCTTATAATTGATGACACCCAGATGAAATCCAAAAGAAGCCTTGATAAAACATTTGACCATTGTTCTTTTATTCTGTAATCCTAATCTAGTTGCATTATTTATTTCATTTATGCTGTTTGTTTGCACTGCTTTTGTGTCCAGTAATCTGTCTCCTGCCCCAGTGACAAAGATGGATGTAAATAGAATAAAGAAATTGACCAGATTAGTCCCCAGTGAGAAAATGGAAGTTGGCTTTGCTGATCTTTAAGATTGTTCTTTCTGCCTTCCGCTTTGTAGTTTTTAGCGTGGATTACAACGATGAGTTGGATATCCTGGTCAGCGGGTCAGCGGATTTCACTGTGAAAGTCTGGGCTCTGTCGACTGGAGTGTGTCTCAACACGTTGACTGGACACACAGAATGGGTCACTAAGGTATGCCTGGCCTGGCTTATTTTGTTTCTCTGTGGGTAAACACCATGCTGTGTGTTGTTTGGGGAAAGGTTTGGCCTGTTCGGTATTTGATCGATTTGAATGATCTGGGTTTGGTCAGCCCCTGGGTGAGTGACCCCTTGGAAGGCCTGTCCGCTGCCTTGATTTCCACGATGGGAGAGCAGCAAGATCAAAACGCCAACTAATGTGAGTTCAGTATTCTGCATCCTATGTCAAGGCAGGCCTGTCTAGTCCTGGCTGGAAAGCATTTTCAGTTGTTCAATTTGTAGCCTGTACCCTTCATCCATCAGTTTCCTGGAGTGTTTAACAACAAATATGGAAGAATCTGTCGATCAAGCCAAAATTAAAATATCCCTCCAGGATCTCATTCCTAGTCCTGCTATCTTTGATCCTTTTAATGAGAAGTGTCTGGTTTTGAGCCTGACACCTTTTCATGCCAAGCAGCAGAATACCTTCAGACTAAGAGACGGGAGTAGTGGTTCAGTGGTAGAGCACATACATTGTGTGCAATAGGGTCCCAGGTTCGGTCCCTGATAGTTAAAGGCTCTCATGTGCAGGAAAGAACTCCTCTGCTTGCAACCTTGGAGAGCCTCTGCCCTTTGGAGCAGATAATACCGGAGTAAATGAACCTGTGGTTTGACTCATTTGTTCTTATTCTTGCCTAATCTTTGGTCTGGATTCTGTTTGTTTTTTTCCCATCCTCCTGGGGGGAGGTTTTTATTGGTTTTTTGTTACCCACTACAAAACTACAACAGAAAATATAAGGAAGGGAACTACATCTAGGGGATAAAGAAAAAGACCCACAACTAACTAAAAACCCAAGAGTAGGAGATCATACATCAGCTTGACACCATGCTATTTTCAAAAAGCTACTCATAATACATTGTATTTAGTCGGTTATGCTAGATTAATTATCGTTTAACCATCCCTTTTAACTGTTTAAAGAAATTCCCAGAGCATCCCCAAGTTATTTCACATTTCTTCAGGCACAAATCAGAGTCCTTCAGCTCTTATTTATTCTTATCTTTTCTAATCCTCAGTTTATAAGAGCTTTTGGGGGCAGCCGCCCCCTTTTCAGAGAGGGAGTCCTCGTCCGAAGACCCCGAGCCCAACTCGCCATCAGATTTGCTTTCTTTTTCCTCCTCTTTGCCCTCTTCTGGTTCCCCAAGCTGTGTCCGCAGAAATTCACATGCTTTAAAAACAGAGTCAATCTTTTTTTTTTTTATTGTTAATCTTGAAAGTGATGCCTTCTGGGATTAACCACCTGTAACTGATGCCATTTGTTTTTAAGAAAAGGATTAATTCTTTATAGTTCTTTCTCTTCTGTCTTATATCAAATGGAATCTCTTTTAAAATCCTGATATTATTGCCTCCAATTTTCAAGGGTGTTCCTGAATTTGCTTTCAAAATAGCATCTCATGTGTCTGTTCGAGAATCTGACCACTATTTCCCCAGGCAGATTATTTTTCTTGATGTACGATGAATAAAATCTGTAGATCACATCCATCTCGCTGCAAAGGTATTCCGCTGTTAAATCTGTCATTGGGGCTATTGCTTCACTCAGCCATTGCTTCAGATTCTCTCCTACATTTTCCTGGACCCCTTGGAACCGTAGGACCAAATTTGCTTTGTCCATTTGTAGCTGTAAAAGCTTTGACTCTTCTGTAACTTGCTTCATTTCCAGCTTTTGCACCTTTTTCTTAACTTTTTTAGTAGTGACGTCCATTTCCTTCGCCTTCTCTCCCATTTGCTCTGTTGCTTTTAAGGCTTGCGTCAGTTGAATCTGCTGCTCTACCACACTCTGCCCAGTTACTGACAGTTCTTGTTTAATGCCAGTGATCTCATCCAGCAAGGGGTGCAGGGAGTCAGCCAAAAGTTTTGAGAGCTCAGTGACCTCCTCCATTCGAGGACTGGCCCCTACTTTCGTTTTCAACTGCTTCTCTTTCTCCGGTTTCTTCCGTGCCATCTTTTTGGATTTGTTTACTTTTCAAGAAAGTTGCTAAAGTCTCTGATATTTGCCCAAATGCTTTTCTGCACTCTGGTAAGTCTCTTAAAACAGTTTTAATCACTTATTTTTCAGCTCTCCCTCTTTCCTTCCATGTTTTGTCTATGTGTTTGGGAGGAATCCCTCCCCCGCTCGCTTTCCCGTTGCTCTTTGGGGGGGGGGGCAGCTTCTTTTTATATCCTCATGTTCGCTTCAACCCGACTCACAGTTCATTGTTGGCCATTCGGCCTCGCTGGTCTTCATTTATTTCACCCGATCTCCAACGCTTGACCCAGTCAGCAGCACTTGTACCATACGGTCACTCAGCGACAGGACCTTCAGGGTGGAGGGGCGCCTCAATTCTCCGGCTTTCGGGCATCGAAGAGGTCGCCTCACAAAAGCCCCCTGGCTGGGAACCTTTTACCAAAGCTCCGGGGGGGCTTTCCCACACGTTGGTGTGCCGTTTACATCCCCGGAGTTTCCGGGAGATGCGTCTGCCTGCGTCTGCCTGCGTGTCGCGTCTGCCTGCGTGTCGCGTCTGCCTGCGTCTGCCTGCGTGTCGCCATAGACCGGAAGCCTGGATTCTGTTTCTTGATCATTCCAGATCAGGGGTCACCGATACGGGACCTGTGAGAGCCATGGTGCCTACCAGTATGTTTCCCGGTGCTCATTGTTGTCTTCTCTAAAGTATTTCTTCCCCCAAATCAAAGAACCAACTCTGGCTTTCCTCCAGCTCATTGGAGCAGGAGGCAATTCCGACAATCCCGGGAGGCATCATCCTTGTGTCTGCAGGGAGCACCCAGGCAAAAACAGCTGCCTCCATCCTAGGAGGATGCTTGACTTGCATACCCCCAACATTTTTGGATTGCCCTACACAGCAGCCATTTTCTGGTGGTACCCACTTTCCTTTTTCTACATTCTAAGTCTTTCTGCAAGCTCAACAAAGTTGGGTGGCCCTGCTCTGGAGCTACAGAATGTTGGGACCTGTTCTTTTTTTTAGAGAGGCTTTTACCACCCAGGATGCAAACATACCCGAACAAATGTGCAGCACCTTTTGCGAACTGGTCTTGTGCAACCTGGGCCTTACCGCGCCTTTCTTCTCATTGCAGGTGGTCTTGCAAAAGTGCGAAGTCAAATCCGTCATGCACAGCCCTGGGGATTACATTCTTTTAAGCGCCGACAAGTATGAAATCAAGGTAATGAGCACATCTGTCTTGCTGAACTCTCGGAAGTCGCGGAGATTGCAGGCTTGAACAGTAAGGAGAACATTCTGAAGGCATACATGAAGATCTGCTTGGTTGTGTACAGCTAAATGCATCCATGATAAAATACTCTCCACCAGTGGAATGCAATAAAAGGCAGAGGTCCCGATGACCTGAAATCCTCACTGCTCCATTCCAAATAGATAAATCCAGCCTCACTGTGGGTTTAATATTACAAAATAATATATTGCCTTGTCTACATACTACACAGTTGATCCAAGAACACCTCTAAAAACATTGCCTGACGTTTGTTTGCTTGCGCTCCCAGGTTTTTATCTAATTCTCAGTTATTTCTTGTTTTTAATAAAATATGGGTAGATAGCACTTCACATGCTGACCTAAACAAAAGTTCCAAGTCTTGGCCTGGAGAAGCTTGCTGTCTAAATTCTGACAGTAGAAGGCAGCAGGGATGAATGTGCACAAATGCAGTTACCCAGACTTAGGCTTACTTTCTTATTTGAACAAAAGGGTTATGCCAATGAGCGGGGCCATGGTACCGTTGTAAAGTATCGGTCCTGCATGAAGAAGGTCCCACCTTTCATCCTTGGCATCTCAGGCGAAAGGACTTGGGACAGCAGGAAATGGGGAAAGACTTTTCTCTGCCTGAGTCCTTGGAGAGCTGTTGCCAGTCACACTAGGCAATATCTAGTGGGCCAGTGGTCTGACCCAGTATAAAGTAGGTTCATATATAGACAAAGGCTTCATTGTAAAGGTGGATTTGAGGGTGGATTTGAAGGGCGAGTGATAAGACCCACAGCGGTTCTCTGGGGGGTCATTCTAGGCACAAGAATAGTAATGTTTCCCTTCTTGTTGCCACAGGATCCCAAATTTTCCATGTTGTAATTTTTTTAAAATAGATCTGGCCCATCGGGAGAGAGATCAACTGCAAATGCTTAAAAACCCTGACGGTGTCAGAAGACCGCAGCATCTCTTTGCAGCCTCGGCTTCACTTCGATGGGAAATACATTGTGTGTAGCTCAGCGCTTGGATTGTACCAGTGGGACTTTGCCAGCTATGATATTCTCAGGTAAATACTTTGAATTCCAGGCTGAATTCTAGGACTCTAATGTGGGAGAACCGGGTTTGATTCCCCACTCCTCTACTTGCACCTGCTGATGTGACCTTGGGTCAGTCACAAGCTCTGGCACAGCTGTATCTGAAAGAGCAGTTTGCGTCAGAGTTCTCTCAGCCCCACCCACCTCACGGGGTGTCTGTTGTGGGGAGGGGAAGGGAAAGGGAAAGGAGTTTGTAAGCCGCTCTGAGACTCCCAAGTGAATCTTTTTTCTTCTCCTCTTCTTCTCCTGTTGGGAATTTTTCAGGAGAGAGAAGGGAGAGAATGCCATGGATAACACTTCATTTTTATGAAGGGACAAGTTAAGATTAACGAAACAGCTAGCCTGCGATGGCCTCTGTCTGCAGTTTCAAGTGACTGGGAGTGCTTTGCAGGGTTGTTTAGGACTTTTTGCAGCATCCCAGCTGGGACACGTTAGCTTGTCAGGTCTGGTGGGCTTCTGCTGGTGGTGGGAAGTGCCGTCCAGTCACAGCTGACTCACGGAGACCCTGTAGGGTCTTCAAGGCAAAAGACATTCAGAGGTGGTCTGCCATTGCCTGCTTCCCGAGTCACAACCCCTGATATTCCATGGAGGAATCTCATCCAAATACTAGCCAGGGTTGACCTTGCTTAGCTTCTGAGATCTGATGAGATTGGGCTAGCCTGGGCTATCTAGGTCAGTGTACCCAAGGTGTAAAAACGGGATTGATAGTTACTGCCACAAAACAGCAGCCAAAGATGGGGCTCCCTATTTCCATTCCCTATGTGGACTTGTTTCCCATACATCTACAGCATTCCTGTCCAAGTGTATTTCTCTTCCCTGCCCATTCTCTCTGCCTCTTTCAGATTCCACCCTGTGGCTCTCCTTTTCTTCTCGTTCTTCTGCATTCTTGCTGTTCTAGGGCGTGGTGATGGTCCCTAGCTGAGATGGCTCTAAAGCGGCATTAGACAGATTCATGGAGGGGAGGCCCATCAGTGGTGATTGGCCGCGATAGCTAGAGGGAAACTTGAGAGGCCGTTCTGGTGTGTGTGGTGGGGTAAGCAGTTGAGGGGCTCTAGCTTCTGAACCCCTGCTTGTAGGCCTCTTGAGACACCTGTCTGGAAACAGGATGTGATGAACCTTTGGTCTTATCCAGCTGCTGCTTTCTGGGGTCTCTGCATCGGCAGCCACAGACCCTTCTGGATCCCCAGCACCCCAAGCAGGACACCGAGCCAGAGGCCTTGTTGCTAAATCCCCTAATACGACATCACAGTGCTTTAGTTCATTTGAAGCAACTGTAGCCTGCCATTCCTCAGTGAGCCCAAGCCAGGTAACACCATCACACCTCAACAGTTCAGACACACGTGAGTTCATAAAGGGCCCACTAACATAAAGCAGTTTTAAGTTGGCTTTTGAAGGCTGGCTGGGAGGGAGATTTTTGCATCTTCAAGGGAAGTTTGTTCCATAGTTTTGGGGTAGCTACAGAGAAGGAACGGGCCATGGCCAACTGTGACATGCAAGAGAAGGCACCTCCAATACGCATTGGCCTAAGGAGTGTAATTGGTGTGCAGGTTCAAAATGGGGGGGAATGGTCCTTTGGGTGTGTGAAGGACTCTAACGGTGAACACTAAACCAGGGAACAAATAGGAAGCTAATGAAGTTGTTTCAGTAAAAGCACTGCATGAAGAAATGATTTGTTCCTGTTTTTAAAAATGGGCAGCCACATTTTGAACTAGCTGTAGCTTCTGGTGCATTACAGTAGTCTAGCCTAGAAGGTCAGCCCTGTCCAGGAGGATTGATATCCTACAACTATGATCTAAATGGGGGAAAGGGGAACACCTAGACTGTCATGTGTTTTCCTGGGTTCGGAAGATGTCTCTGATATGATCCCTAGGGTCTTAGCAGACTCTGGTTGTGACAGTATTACACTGGTGGTTCTCAGACTGGGGTTTGGTGTCCAAAAGTGGGTTGTGACTATTGCAGGGCAACCCAAGTGAGTTAGGAGAGGTGGTTCAATGACAGTTTTGGATTTGCCTCTGCTTAAGGCATGAAATGGAGCCTGTGGCTTCGTAATGCTGTACATTTGTCAATACTGAGCACAGAAGAACAGAATGCAAACTTGTTCATTGTTAACTGATGTGCAGGTCCTGCATTTTATGTGGGAAAGTAGCATGGAGTTACTTTTGCAAGTTGGCCTTGAAAAGCAGAGAAATTGAGAAGTGGGTCCCACTTTAGACAGCGTGGGAGGGACCACCTTGCACCATCTAGTTGCAAACCAGACCTTTCCAGGACATCAAGCTTCAATGCGAGGAATACCTCTTGTCTTGCCTGGATCTAACTTCAGCGCCTTCTCCATCTTCCATTTTGACCACAGCATCCAGGCGCTGGCTTAGATTGAACACTGTTTAAATCTTGTTTGTTTCTGGCTAACCTGTCCTTTACCTGCCATGCGTTTTCTGATTTTGTTTTTCTCCCCCTGCCCTCTTCTCACCTCAGGGTTATCAAACCTCCAGAGTTTGCAAGCTTGTCCTTGCTAGGCTTCGGTGACATTTTTGCCCTCCTGTTTGATAACCACTACCTGTACATCATGGATTTGAGGACAGAGAAACTGATTAGCCGCTGGCCACTGCCAGAATACAGGAAGTCCAAGAGGGGGTCAAGCTTTCTGGCTGGAGAAATGTCTTGGCTCAACGGCTTGGACGGCCAGAACGACGTGGGCTTGGTCTTCGCCACCAGCATGCCCGACCACAGTATTCATCTGGTTTTGTGGAAGGAACACGGCTGAAGGGGAGCAGCAGATACACGTGTGATGTGGCTTTTTTAAACAAATGAACATAACAGTTGAGACTGCCAGCGACACGTCAGCCAGAGAAGACTTTGCATGAACCAAAGCTGCGCATCTTCCAGACACCATCATGCAATGTACAATCAGTGTACAATCATTTTACCTTTAATTTTCTGGGGCATTGGAGGAGATGGGGAGGTGCAGAGTAACACAGAGGGGTGTGTATTATTATTATTATTATTATTATTATTCTTTTTAGAAACATTAATGCACCACGGCATGCTAACATCCTAGACTCTACTGACTTGAGTATTCATGTTCAAGCATACACATTGGGGCATCTTTCTCGACTGTGGCTTTGGGATTGTTGGTTTGGTTTTTCTTTTCCCCTTGAACAAAAGAAAGAGACGCCGTACAAAGGAAGGGAAGGGTATTGGCTCTCAGCCCTTCCCTCTTCTGCCCCCATTGCTCACAGGTAGAAAAAAGGAGGTAGTGAATCAAATCATTTCCAATACCTTGTTCTCAAGGCGTTCACCTCCACTGTGAAAAACCAGATTGCTACAAGCAGGTTAATCGGTTTCTCTGTAGCTGATCAAATGTCGCTTCACTAACCACACATACCTACACCTCTGTATGCAGTGAAAGTGGGCCCTCCCCCTTCCTGGAGCCTCAGCTGTTCTCTTACTTAGAAGCGACTAAAGGAGGAGGTCTTGCAATTATTTGGAAAAAAGCAAATTCAGTTTTTTCTACCCAAGGCCTGGCTCCTTTGGAATGGGCATTCCCCTTCTACATATGGTGGAGGGGAACAGGTGGGGTGGAGGGGGTGACATCCAAGCATCTCTCACCAGAGGCGTGCTTTGTCTTGCAAGGCAAATTCATGGGCCCATTTAAGAGAACTGCCTTTTTAAATGAGCCAGCAAGTCAATGGAAGGCTCTATGTGCCTGTAGTGGTTACTAGTACAGGGAAGATCTGCAAATGTGTGTGGTTGAAAGTAGCATTGACCCTGCTTGCGTAGCAGAGTCAGTATTCTTCTTAAAGTCCTGGCTCCCTTGGAACAGGTGTTCGCCTCTTGCCCTGATCTCTCTGCGAGAAGAAGTCTGCAGCCGTTTCCATCATGGCTTCCTGAATCTAATGAGAAGAAACAAGATGCTTACAAAGATGAGTAGTAGCCAAGAGCTCCAGTGGACAGCACTTTCCTTGCTTAGGGAAGGAATTGGGCAACAGAGAGTTGGAAGGAAGTATTCTAGCTGCATGCACTTGTCAGCCTTCTTCTTACCTGCTAATTGCCACAGGCACCTGGGGGCTTTGGTTCCTGTAATGGCTCACTGAAGTGCTACCAGCACAGGACTCTCAAATCAAAAGAAGCTCTCCATCTTTCCAGGGATGTTTCTTTTCACCATTTGTTTTCCAGTGCAGAGGCCAAAGCTGTGGTTTGGCTGAAGCCTGGCAGCTTGAAATCCAATTGAAGTAATTTAAGACTGAAATATGGCGAGAGAGTGTTGAACAATATGTGGAGGGGAGGGCTCACTCTCTCGCTGCCCATCCACCTGTGCTTCTGTTCTTGGAGGGGCGCTGGATCAAAGATGGCAGTCTTCTTCCGGCACTTGCTACAAAAGTTTACACAACAATATTAATAAAACCATCTGCCTGGTTGGACTTTTGTGCTGGCACTCAGTGATTGAACCAATATTTTTAGGTCCTCGGGGACTAAAATCCACTCGAACTCACCTCTTCTTGCTTTATTAACAGTGAATGTGATGAAGAGTTAAGTCCTCGAATGGTGCAGGCTCCAAGTTGGCTGGCTAATGGGGTGAATTGAGTCCTTGACACTAGGGTGTGGTTAAAGCAGCAGTATGCCTGCAAATGGCTCCTTTTGATGTATTCTGAATAGAGCTATAATTAAAGAGCACAATGGCTGTCTTGGAGAGGTGGACGGTTTTGGAATTAGCTGTGGACATATTAAGCCTGGCTGCTCCATGAATGCGTGCTGGCTCTTTTTTGGTGTTGTTTTCTTTAAAAGATTCCATTTGTTCTCACCATCTCCATCTGGCAGGTGTTAACATAAGCCTATTTCAGTTAGATATCCATTACAAATCTTTTTTGGGGGGGGGGGGTTTGCAGGAAACCGGGCTTCTGTGCCCAAGAACTGTTATTTTCACCACCTGCTTCTAAAAGCAGCATTTCCTCTATATTCAGTTTAAAACAAAAACACATCTTTGTTATTTTTACAGCACTATTTTCAAGGTAAAAGAGCACTTGGACAGGGCAGTAGCTCTTTGTCCACTGCTGTAGCTGGCTTAACTCTCCCGCCCACCCTGCTATGAAAACTTTCAGCCTGGTTCAGTTTTGGTCCCTCGCTCAGTCATTCCCGAACAATGACCCGAGAATAACCCTGCAGTCAGATTGCTGCTAGTCTGACCTAAGCAACAAATGCACTGAATAATTAAGAGCTTTTTGCAAATCCAGCATTTCCCACACATCAGGAAGGCTCCCTGTAATCTCTGCAATTCTTTGGAAGTAAGTGTGGTTGAAGCAATAGCCCCCCTCAAGGAAGGGTGTGGTTTTAAGTCTGTCTTGTCTCTGTCACTGGGAGTTGATTGAACCATTTAGTTGCTCCCTATAAAGCTGCGGTGGCTCAAGTGGTTAAGACGCTGAACTGCAGGCTGTGGAAGGTTGGTAGTTCAGCAGTTTGAGACCCGAGTGCCGCATGACAGAGTGAGCTCCCGTCTCTAGTTCCAGCTCCTGCCAACCTAGCAGTTTGAAAGCAAGAAATTGCAAGTAGATAAATAGGTACCACTTCGGTGGGAAGGTAACAGCGTTCCGCGCGCCTTGGTGTTTAGTCATGCCGGCCACATGACCACGGAAACGTCTTCGGACAGCGCTGGCTCTTCGGCTTTGAAACGGAGATGAGCACCGCAACCCTAGAGTCGGACTTGACTGGCTTTCGAGCAAGGGAACCTTTACCTTTATAAAGAGGAAAGACATATAAGGCGGAAGACAGGAAGGCCTGGCGTGATCTGGTCCATGGGCTCGCGAAGAGTCGGACTCAACTGTGTGACTGAACAACAACATAAAAAGGAAGAATGCAAGTATGTTACAAGATGTTGTCTTTCTGTATGGATCGTGGCTCTGGCCTTAAGAACCCTGCTGGTCTAGCATCCTGTTGCTGATTGGTACCCAGCCGGGTGACAGCCCGCCTCCCTTGTTCACACTCCAGTAATGTGGTGTGGTTAGGAAAATGGGGTTTCTGTTTAGCTATTGTGTCTATTAGCTGTTAAGTTTTATTCTTCATAGTTCTGTCAAACCCTTAAAAAACCCCACACAAGTCAGCCATCGCTGTCTCTTGCAGCAGCAGATCTGTGAATGGATTCTGCACGGGATGAAGACATGCTTCTTTTTGACTGGCCAGTTTCACTGGGTGATGCCAGCTTAGAGTGCCGAGAAGAGAGGAAAAGTCCCATCCATAATTTCATATGTTTATACCCCTCCAGCCAGCCCACCACCCCTGGTTCCTATTTTGTCATCTTTCTAAACCGAAAAGTCCCAAATGCTTTAGTTCTTTGTAGAAAAGATGCCGCAATCCCTTGATTGCTTTGCCTGCCCTTTTACATCTAGTCTCGGGGTGGGGGGGCACCTGCTGAGGGGCCTTTTGCCATCACAGTCCTCTCTCCCAAGAATGCGTGGAGGAGAGGGGTGGTCATGTTTTGTTCTGTGTTTTAGCTCCTCAGCCTTCTAGGTTCCTGACGATTCTCAGGTTGGGTCGTCCCCCCCCCCCATTTTGCTGTGTCCTTGTCAAAAAACAGCCAACATCTGTTCAGTTTACAAACAAAACTAGGGACCAGCACAGGGATAAATATAGAGTTTATATCACACTTTCTGCTGTCCATGCATTGAGTGTAATATGAGAATTACTTAGCACACATATAAAGGAAAATCAAGTGGGCAATGAACATGGGTTGCACATGCATTCTCTGTAACTTGTGGACAGGGTTACTGATTAAGGAAGGTTCGGCTGCTTCCCAGTCTTGCTGACCCTCCAGTGGCTGCTATTGCCATTGAAAACCCTGACTGAGCAAGAATAATAATAATAATAATACCTTTCAATTTATTGATCGCTCAATCCGGCAGAGCTGCTGGCTCTGAGCGCTTTACAGTTACACAGGTTTCACACAAGGGACTAACAATTGTTCATAGGGGTAAGGGAGGACAACATATAATTCTTTAAATTGCACACGTTTACAGCTGACGGGGATCCTGTTCAGCTGTAGGCTTCCGATGTGTTTTGGACAGCATTCACTTCTGCTTGGCTTGATGACGTTGACGCTGCCACTGCCTGGCCGGATTGGCCCATCACAGGCTTCTTAATGCCGAAGAGGTCTTTTTTCCAGGCTTCCGAGCTTCCGAGCTTCCGAGCTGGACATTCCATTCACCGGCTAACACCTCTCCTACGGGGGTTTAGTGTGCCCACCCTCTCTAAGGAGTGGTACCCACTTTATCTACTCGCTGAAGCTGGGTGGATGGCAAGCTGGGGACAAGGCTGGTAGCTCACACCAGCGCGGGCTAGAACTGACAGCAACTCTGTTCAGTTCAGATGTTAACCAGAGGATAAATCCTCTGGGCCACCGCTCCCCTCAAAGGTAGATTATAAATGAAAGGTAGATTATAAATGAAGTAGAAAAGGTGGCCAGTAAGAAGCCCTGCCTTACAGTAGTCCCTCCCTTTTTCTGAAAAGTTTCATGGCATCAGGTAAATACTGTCGGGTGCCGTGGCACCCAAGGGCACCCTGTTGGAGAACCCTGGTCAATGGGGATTCCAAGAACAGGCATCTGAAAACCCTCAAAGAGCTTGATTTTATTACTGGGAGAGCTTTCACTGCTACGATTATGTAGTGTTTAGTTGAGGAACACAGGAAGCTGCCTGCTACTGAGCCAGATCTCTGGCTTAAAGGTCAGTATTGTCTGTTCAGCTAGACAGGGCTTTTCTAGGGTCTCAGGCAGAGGTCTTGATACGTCACCTGTTCCTTTTAACTGGTTTGTGGAGACTGAACCTGGGACCTTTGTAGGGTTGCTGGGTCTTAACTTGGTCCCGGTGGGGGGCTCCAGCACAGTTCCTGGAGTCATCTGAAGTCACCCAGAAGTGACATCATCATGCCAGGCACGTTGTGCAGGGGATGCTGTAGCATTTGGGTTATAAACTCTATGGTCACCATAGAGTTTTTACCCAAACGCTAGAGCATCCCCCACATGATGTGCCTGGCGTGATGACGTCACCACTAGCTGACCTCATCATGTCAGGTGTGACTGAGCTCTTCGGGGACAGGGCTCCCCTGCCAGCCAGCTGGCGAGTAGTGGATTGGGGGGGCAGAAAGCAGGGGAAACCCCGTCCCATTGGGGAGTTGGCATCCCTAGACTTTTGGCATGCAAACCAGTTACTCTGCCACTGAGTCAGGGCCTCTTACTGCAATGAATTGATTAAAAAGGATGTTGGTCACCTGAAAAGTTTCCTCCAGTTCACTGGGCAGCAGATTTTGTTTTAAGAATACATAATTTAAAATAAAATTTGTCATTTAAAAAAATGTCAAGCATCATCTCAGAAAAAGTATCACCCCTTTCACACAGGGCTGAATTGTTCCGTGTATTTAATTTGATTATTTAATTGATAACAGAGTAACTAAGATTTCTTTAACCTGTTTAAGAGAATGAGAAAAGCTCTGATCCATCATAACAAAGGTCCCTCTATCCCAGCATCTTGTCGTCATCAGAGGCTCACTAGATGTCCCCAAGAAAACCTCATACATGGCAAAAAAGCAATTGGCCTCTCATGTGGTTTGCCTTTGGCAGTCTGGTATTCAGAGGTATACTATGGCTGTACATGAAGGTTCCATTCTTAGTTTCCTTGCTTAACTACTGCTGATAGATGAGTGCACAGAATATATCTAATCCTTTATAAGATCTTGTCAGATCAGACTAAAGCTTCATCTAGTCAAGCGAAAAAAGAGCAAGAGTCCAGTAGCACCTTAAAGACTAACAAAATATGTGGCAGGGTATGAGCTTTTGTGAGTCGCTGCTCACTTCTTCAGATACCGCTAGGATGGGAGTTCATCTGTCCTATTTATTGGAAAGTGGAGTGATTCCAGATGCTGAATGACAATAGCAGGTGGATGACAATAGCAGGCGTGATTGGATGTAGGTATGCAGAGAGGTAATAGGCATGGAGAAATCAGCATTGGTAATGAGACAGGAAACATAGGTCTTGATTCAGTCCAGGTGGATGCATTGTCTTGAACTTCATTATCAATTGCGATTCAGCAGTCTCTCTAATCTCCCTTTGAAATTCCTTTGAAAAAGAACTGCTAATTTTAGGTCAGCAACTGAATGTCCTGGAAGGTTAAAATGTCCAGCAGCCAGTGTTTCCAACAGCAGCCAGTCAACGGCTTCTGGCAAGCCCATGAGTAAGTCATGTATAGCCCTCTTGTTTGTCTTCAACAGCTGGTATTCAGATATACTACCTCTGAACAGAGAGGTTTCATTTAGCTGTCACAGCTAATAGCTATTTCTAGATTTATATTCCACAAATTTATCTAATCCTTCCCCTCTCTCCCATTCTTAGCCTTCTTAGAACTGATTTACGCCTTACAAAAAGTCCATGTGGCAGCTTGAGCCCGCCAGGAGAAATGTGGATCAGACCTGGGACAGGAATTCAATGCTGGGAACTCAGTGCCCAGGTATGCAGGGGCCTGATTCGGATCAGGGTTGTGGTGTGCCAGAGAAAAGGGGCTTAAGCCTCCCCCTGTGCAGTTCTCCTACCCTGAAATGGCCCCAGGGAGCCACTGTTTGGCCCACAGGGGGAAACGTACATGTTAGCCCATCAGACCCACTCACAACTTCCACATTGCAATGGGGCTGCCATGAGACCTTTATGAAGGGAACAGTGTAGGGTGTGTAAATGTCGAAACGAATGAATAAATACAATGGGCTGAACCCCCGGGACTTCAAAGACTGGGATAAGGTCAAACGAAGCTCAGCAGCAAAGCAGAAAGAAAACCAAAAAAAGTAGCTGATTCAAGGAATAATCCCATGAGCAGGTCTACTCGGAATCTTACTCAAGTCTATTCAACGGACCTTTCCCCCAGGGATGTGTTCTTAGGATGGCACTGTACTGAAAAGAGAACAGTACAATACCTGAGCCATATCCGTTCACAAAGTCACACTTGAATTGCCTGCGATTGCAGTTCAAATGAAAGAGGCCCAGTGGTTAGCACAGGGTTGGCAAGGATATCGCAAAGTGGCACAGGCAGAGACAGGGGCAGATGTTTCTCCCTCCCTTGGTAGTTTCCTCCGCCCGCCCCGCCCCTGATTTTCTTCTCTCTCCCCCATCCCCCAATTTCCCTTCCTATGTCTACCCACCTCCAGCACAGAGGTAGTAAGGTGGTGGCACAGTGACGAGATTATAGGGACGGACTGAAATACTTCTGTCTGCAGGTTCCCCTGTTCCCCTGCATTAATAATTTCCAATAAGTGGAGAGCTAGCACAGCGTGCAAAGAATCAGGCTAAAGCCCTTCTTCCTGACTTTGTAAGTAATACATATTGTGCTATGATTACTGATCATTACATGATGAACGACCGCTGATTAATCACCTGACTTTTAGTCAATTAATTGCTTGAGCTTGCACATACACAAAACCACAATTTCTGGTGCAAAAGAAGACATTTTCTATATCTTTAGACATACTGTGTTTTTATAATATTAAACAATGCAAAAGTAACAATTCTCCTTAGCAGCTGGTATTCAGAGGTATACTGCCCCTGCACTGGGAAGTTCCATTCCTAGCTATTACTGATACAGTGAGCATGGCAATGTAATTACAGAGGGGTAGCCATGTCAGTCTATTGCAGCAAAATTAAATGGAAGTCCAGTAGCACCTTCAAGGCTAGTGAAGTTTATTCATAAGCCTCCATGACCCAGACTTCACTTCTTCAGATGCATATTTACTTCTTGGCACCTCACTATAAATTCATGTCATCATTAAATCCAGCCCCTGAACCCCTTTCAGTCAGTCTTTGGATGGGCTGTCTTAAGAAAGAATGAGTTCATCCCCAGATGTTACCATAGTCATCTCTGATTCATCAACACTTCAAGATCTGCCTATCGCTTTCCTTTTAATGAGGGTATGTTTTGTAGTACCTGGTTCACTCTGCTGATCAGTGATGAGCTATATCGCCAGAGTGTTGTGTCCCTAATCAGGGATTCCCTGGGTAAGTCTGGTTGGAAGGGGGTCCGGCAGTGGTAAGTGATAGCGACATCCATTGGAACGTCCAGACTTTCTCCGAAGGCCTGGAGGACGGAGTGTACAGACGTCTGAACCACTTTCCTTGGGTTGACGATCATTTTCTGTGGGTTGATTACTTCTTTTCTGTCTGGTTCTCGTAACACATGCTGCAGTATGTTGACTCCAGGTACTGTGTCCCATGATGGAATGCCAGTAGAGGTAAAGACAGTGTTAGGAAAAATATGATTCTCAAACAGGAAAACACCAATCTCTGGATTCTGATCCTGAAGATCCTCCATCATGGTTTTCCAGTCTGGATGCTGATTGGGTAGAATGATTTCATCAATGTCATTAAGCAAGACGTACCTGCTTCTGTACATATTCCGGTAGATGCAGTCATTCAAGGCTGCGATTTGTCCGTAGTAACCTATTTGAGTCCCGTCATGACTGTAAAACCATTCAGTAGAAACACTGAGGTAGGCTGTGATCGGCCAGGGGACTATCTCAACAGTCCCTTCTGCCATATAAAACTCCAGAACTTTCTCCATCAGTTGGCTACAACTGTTTTTGTAGATGACCACCCTCTGCACCCCTAGAAGTTTATACATTTCCATGCTCTGTATGAATTGCAAGACGTTGTTGTAGTCTCCGAACATGGTGGAGATACACATGGTGAAATCCATAAGAGAGTCTGCAATCTTCCGATTCTGTATTTCAAAGCGAGGTAGCAGGCCGGTGTTTCCTTGAGGAAACCAGCTGAAAGACACATACTGTGGGTCACAATCTGTGGGTTCCATACAAAGCAAGTCTGCTGCTGCGTAGGGGAATCCAAATCGATCTTTGTGAATGTCTATCACAGCCTTGGAAATGTATATGTCATCTCCAGTTGGGCAACAGAACAAGCAGTAAACTTTCTTGACTTCCTTATGGGGCACAATCCCAATCGTCCGGATGAGTTTCTTCACCCTGTTATCAAAATATGGGGCAAGAACAAAGGTTTTGTTGTCACTCAGAGTTGAGATTGAATTATTGACAATCTGTCCTGTGCAGAAGCCTTTGCTCTTGTGCATGACAGTTTTGGGCAGGAAAGAATCTTTCTGTGTCCTGCGGTAGGAAAGCATCAGCATGCCGGCAAAAGCTCCTAGACACATGGCAGACACCAGATAGGCTTTTCTCCTGAAACAGATCATCTCCAACTTGGGCTTCACGCCAAGCGTGTTCCACAGCTGAGCCTGAAAAAGAATGCAGGCGAGAATTGGGGTTATCTTGCAAGTATAAAATAGTTTTTGAGACAGATATAGGGTTGCCATTTTCCCGCTGTAAGCAGAGAAACTCCTGACCTGCTCAGTGAAGTGGTGGGGGGAAAGGAATGGTGAAATTGTGTTGTGTCACACAACACTCTAGGAATTTTTCTCATTTGTTTCTACCATAGAGACTGGGGGAATCCTAGAGTGTCATGTGACACAGTGATGTCACTCCTAGGTTCCGAGCTAGAAGTGACATTGAGACATCACATAATGCCATTTTCCCAGTCTGCCCCCAAATGCTCTTGGAGCTGGGTTGGGCACCCTATACAGGTAGACTATTTGCATAACTATCAAATGCAGTTGCTTCTTATTAAAAGGGGATTAGATAGATTCATGGAGGATACGTCTATTGGTGGCTACTAGTCATGGTGACTGAAGGGAACCTCCACATTCAGAGGTACTAAGCCTTTGAATCTCAGAGCCAGGAGGCAATGCCAGGGGAAGGCCTTCGCCTCTGTGCCCTGTTGTTGGCCATCTAGAGGAACTGGTTGGCCACTGTGTGAGACAGCCTCTATGCCCTGTTGTTAGCCATCTAGAGGAACTGGTTGGCCACTGTGTGAGATGGCCTCTATGCCCTGTTGCTGGCCATCTAGAGGAACTGGTTGGCCACTGTGTGAGACAGCCTCTATGCCCTGTTGTTAGCCATCTCATGCAAATGCCATCCCTCCTACAGCCCCTATGACTGTCCCCCTTGGCTTTTGCCTTTGCAGGCGGGACATGGGAAATCACAGCAGCCAGAAACAAGTGGGTGAACATTTTAATCTCCCTGGGCATACTATTACAGACCTGAAAGTCCACGTTATAACCCCCCCCCCCTCCATCAAAGGGAATATACAATGTGAAACTTCTGAATTAGAACTCATCAAGAAATTAAACACTACCAGCCCTACCCTGGATAGCCCAGGCAAGTCTGATCTCATCAGATCTCGGAAGCTAAGCAGGGTTGACTCTGGCAAGTACTTGGATGGGAGACCTCCTTGGAATACCAGAGGTGGGGGCAGGCTTTACTCAGCCACCTCTCTGAATATCCTCCAGGCCCCCAGTAGGGGTCAGTCACCAGAGATCACCATGACTTCCAGGTGTGCACACACTCAACACACATGCACATATAAAAATACAAAAAAACAAACAAAAAGAAATTAAAGACTACCTGTCATTCTGGCTTAAACAGAGGCCAGGATTTCCTTAGTCACTACGATATCTCAAATAGCCCTTGAAGTGTAGTGGGTTAGACGCATGTAGAAACCACTAATATGGATGTAGTGATCAGCATGGTTTACTGGTACACAACAAAGACAAAGAACTACTGGCCGGCTGGCCAACTATATACACACCTGGGGACACACCCCTAGGTCCCGTTGGTGGGTTTAAATCTCCCGCCATGGTCCCATTGGTTCCCCAGTGGAGGGACTAAGAGCCTAGTCCCCATTGTTTGGTGTAGTGGTTAAGTGTGCGGACTCTAATCTGGGAGAACCGGGTTTGATTCCCCACTCCTCCACTTGCACCTGCTGATGTGACCTTGGGTCAGTCACAAGCTCTGGCACAACTGTCCTTGAAAAAAAGCAGTTTGTGTCAGAGTTCTCTCAGCCCCACTCACCTCACAGGGTGTCTGTTGTGGGGAGGGGGAGGGAAAGGAGTTTGTAAGCCGCTCTGAGACTCCACGTGAAGGGCGGGGTATAAATCCAATCTCTTCTTCTTCTTCATTGTTCCTACAGAGTCAAGCTCGAGGGTATTCGCTCGCCCCTAGTGGCAGTCAGCGGATATAACAGCTCTACAAAAACAACTTTTTAGAAATTTAAATTGGCTGTTTATAACATGTTTTCCCTGACCTGGATAGCCCAGGCTAGCCCTATCTTGTCAGATCTTGGAAGCTAAGCAGGGTTGGCCCTGATTAGTACTTAGTTGGAAGACGACCAAGGAAGTCTGGAATTGCTACACAGAGGCAGGCAATGGATAACCACTACCTTTGAATGGCTCTTGTCTTGAAAACCTCACGGGAACACCATAAATCAGCTGTGATTTGATGGCACTTTATCCACCCAACGTTTTTAATCAGGCTATAATGTCATACGAACATCAGTTAATTTTCACTTAAATGTTATACTGCTTCTCCTGAGTAGTTGTTATTTACCCTATTTAACCTACTTCATCACTTTGCTTATTGATTCGAAGCTCTGACCCCCTCTCATAATCCATCATGTGTAACTGCTAATTGTTGGTTTATGATGTTGGGATTCACACCTAATCTTTCTACCTCACACCCTCCCTTTCCACATTACACAGGGAATTTGAAAGATTCATGATGGAATCCATACCAAACCTCTCTGCTTCAGCTCCTCCTTCCCACCTCTGTCTTGTAATCTTCCCGTAAGTATGATCCCTCCGTCACATATCTAAAGAAGTGAACTGTGGCTCATGAAAGCTCATATCGAAATACATGTTGTTACATCTTTAAGGTGCCACTGGACTATTGTTTTAGAAAGGATTAGCAAGAGATAATGGAAGTGTTCAAGAGAATACGTATTTCTTTAACCCAAGGAACAAACACCTTCCTGGCTGTAAAATCAGTAAAAGATAGTTGCCAAGAAGTAAATGAATGCATCATATGGATGGTGAGCCAGAGCCCTTCAGTAATGTGGAGCAGTGGCAGGAAGGGAGACAGGATGTGAGCAACGATTCTTGGCAAACAAATTGGGTTTCTACGAGCGTTCTCTTGTTTTGGTTTGTGAAAAGTTAGAAGGTATATATGAACGATGCACAGAGTCCGAACTGCAGGCTTCCTATGTGCTTGTGCAGGTAGAGTTGCCAACACCAAGTTGGGAAATTCCTGGAGATTTGAAGGCAGAGCCTGTGGAGGAAGCGCAGCAGGCGTGTGACGCCATACAGGCCACCCTCTGAAGCCACCCTTTTCTCCAAGGGAACTGATCTCTACAGTCTGGAAATTAACCGTAATTCCGGAAGATTTACAGCCCCTGCCTAGAATTCGGCAACCCTAAACACGGGGTTTGTGGGGCTGAAGGTATGCTTGCAGGGGACGAATGTATACATGGTAGGGGGTGAGTAACCATACCGACCCATCGATTCTGATCTGCAAATCTACTTCTCCTGGGTGGCTCTTAATTTTCACCCCAGCTAAGTACACTTCTGGAAGGGAGTGGGGAATGGACTTGGGGGTGGGGCATTAGGAACCAAGGTCTTTTCCACATTTGCCTGCCAACCAGGATTTTCTCAGTGTTTGAGTTGAGGCAATTTAAGTTGCCAGCAAAACAGCATCCAAACAACCCGGGGCAACAGCAGGCTGAATCCGGTCTGACCACTGAAGGGAGGGAATGAAAAAACCCAGAATAAAAAGAAGGTTGAACTCAATTTTAGTGCGGAATGGGGGGGGGGAGAACCTGGATTAAAAAGAAGGTTGAATTTGATTTTTGTGCAGAACTGTCCGGAGGACACCACAGTGAGCATGGATTAAAAGGAGAGTGCAGAAAGGACCCAAGAATCACTGCATTTGGGAGTGTGCTCTTCCTTCCCACCTGCTGGCCTTTCCTGCAACCAGCCTGTATCCCAGGCCCATAGCTAGCCTTTTCATTCGATCGGACTGTAACATTTTCCTGGCAGGACTTTAAAGAAATGAAAGGAAGTCCAGTGTTTCCCTCACAATGAACAGAAACTTCTACCACTCAAGTTGCCCAAGTGTTTCCTTTATTTTCGATAAATAGTTGGCACCAGAAACATATAGGATGAAGCTCTTTTGTTTTCTCTTTGCTTTTAGGCATTTTGATTTTGCTGTTTGCTGGTTTGACTGTCTTATAATGAGCACCTTTCCTAAGTAGATAATCACTTCCTCAGCTTTCCCATTATGCCATTTTAAACACCTCGCTATGCTAATCGTCCCAGTTGCCCAATTGCCCAGGAATTTTTCAGGATAATTTACCGGTTCTCATGAAGCACACACCCGGTGCCCAAGGGAATCTTGCCTAATCACAATTAGGCAGATCAGGGGAGTGGCTTGGGGAGCAACCTCTACTTTCTTATTGCAGAATTTTTTCTATTTTAGAGGGGGGGGAAGAATACTAAAGATCAATCTAACCCTGCACCCTGTTTTCACTGTGGCAACCCACAGGCCTCTGGGAAGCACACAAACTGGGGCTGTATGTGCGCATACACAGAGATGCAACATTTGTTGAATTCAGATCAGAATAAAGAATCTTCTATATGCCTACACGAGAAGAAAAAAGAAAGAATGAAAAGAACCAAAAAAAAGATACAACAGCAATAATAATACCTGCCGCTATCATATGTAAATCTAATAGTTATCTGATGGGCCTTTGTTCTAATTTATCTCAGTGTATTCTATTTGTAGGGGGCTGCAGTGGCTCAAGTGGTTAAGACGCTGAACTGCAGACCTGAAGGTCGGTAGTTTGGCAGTTTGAGACCCGAGTGCTGCATGACGGAGTGAGCTCCCCTCTGTGGCCCCAGCTCCTGCCAACCTAGCAGTTCGAATGCAAGAAATTGCAAGTAGATAAACAGGTACCACTTTGGTGGGAAGGTAACAGCGTCCCGTGTGCCTCGGTGTTTAGTCATGCCGGCCACATGACCACGGAAATGTCTTTGGACAGCGCTGGCTCTTTGTCTTGGAAACGGAGATGAGCACCGCATCCCTAGAGTCGGATTCGACTGGCTTTCGAGCCAGGGGAACCTTTACTATTCTATTTTACCTGTTTGTTGGGTTTATTTCTGTTCCAATATGAAATAAAAGGATACCACATCTCTGTTATGGTCTCCAGAGCCTTACTTTTCTCTTCCTGCATTTTCTTATAGAGACCAATGTTACCCATCGATACCATGTACCATATTTTATAGGCCCATTCATCGATATCAGACAGGCTAAGACTAAGAATCGCCTGGCTGCTACCCAAATATTTTTG